AATCAAACGGAACTGGAAAATGCATTTATTGACTTTATCAATTCTAAAAATTCTGAATTCTACTCAGACGGAATTAATAAGTTACCAACACGTTGGGAGAAATGTATTGAGAGTATGGGAAATTATTTTGATTAAAGAACATTGCTTTAAAGTAACTAGTTTCTTTTTTTTTGTTTAATACCAAAATCCTGCATTATTTTCCGGACAACCCAATAAAAGTATTAATTAGGAACACACAACGGTAGGGAACACACAGACAAAATAACCCTCAGTCCACTTCGCAAAATTCAAAATTTTAATCGAGGCGATCTATTCACAATCATGCATATCACACAACGGTTTCACATTTTAAATTCATTTATTTATAATTATAATTAAAATCGGAATTATTGGAATTTTTTCTATGATTGACTACTGGCCTAGAATCGGGTTCATTGTGTAGGTTCCGGATGTCTTGTTGAGTGATCTGCGGTCTTATGAAATACTTGCGAAATGATCATTAGGCAGTCAGTGTACGGTTTTAACCGACGGAGGACCACCCGAACGTAATCGGGAGGCGTAGAAAAAATATAAAATAAAACAGTTTTTAAAATAAAAAATGATTGAAATATAATTGCTTTATAATGTTCAATACCAACTGTAATTCCATTCCAGTTTTTGTTAATTATGATGAATCCAGAAGCTAAGCAGCAGGAAATTACTCTACAACACCACATCCGTGTATCGCTGCGTTCAAAACCCGATCATCTACTGTTATTGTGCGGTTTTAACCGACGGAGGACCACCCGAATGTAATCGGGAGGCGGGGAAAAAATATAAAATAAAATAAAACAGTTTTAAAATAAAAAATGATTGAAATATAAAATAAAGAAATGAAATAATAAAGACTCACCAAGCTGATGTTGTGGCAATGATAAAGGTGGGCAAGAAATAGAAGGATCCAGGAGCGATGAAAAATAGGGTATTTGGGGAGGACGGCCCACTTACAAGTACCAGCAACTCCGGCGTTTTGGCGAGGTCAAAATCAATCCAGAAAAAATTCCAAGCGATGCTAAAAGAGATTTTACAGAAAGCGGTCTGTAGAAAAGCGTTTGCGGGTTCACACAAAAAGAAAAAATGGAAAGCGGCGCGTGCTGAGACGAACAAGGCTCGGTCATAAAAGCGACTGATGTGTGGTACCCGGAGTGGGGCGGCCAATCCTTTAGACCGGCTTCCCGGTATAGGATAATAAGTAAATAATAAACAAAATAGGCGGGCGGTTCTTTAAAATAAAAATGAAAAATGAAAATCCGAACAGGCAGTTATATATATATATATTTTTTTTTTTTGACTGGGGTTTCCGACATCTAGGTCATTTCAGCCCCCAACTAAGTCTATATTCTATTTACACTTTCAAACACTACATTCATACAAATAAATACATTCATACACATAAATACATCCATACAGTACACTCATTCAATTGGTCAGTGGAGTACTTGATATTCCTCCACCGACCTATACTTAAACTAATCTAGTTTGGGGTCGATGGAGTACTTTTATAAATATTCCGCCATCGACCCCGAACACAAACTCTTACGCTCTCTACGTTCGAGGGGCGATAATGACGTTATATTTCACCCTCACCCCTCGCCATTCACGCTAATAAATACATGCACTCAGACAATACATATAGACACAACACATAAGACATATTATATACAATAAAAAAAAACCAATTTCCCCTAAAAAGCGGAACAAGGGACTCTAAAACTCGCTACCGTGCTCGAGAACTCTTCTTAAGTCCGGCGGCATGCCTACACGCTCTCTGTATGGAGCCAAGGCATGACACGCCTCTATTATGTGGGACACATCGAGCAACCTTTCTCTGCATAAGGGGCACCTGCGCGGGCTTTGGCTGTTATAATTTTAATGAGTTTCTGATATGTCTGTATTTTATAGGATTTCTTGGGTTTTTGACATGATAACCATGGCGCTGCTTTTACCTGTTTTTGGTGATGAGGACATTGCTTGTTAATTTCGCTACCAGAAAGAGTTCTGTACAGTGAGAGTAGACGCAGTATATCCCAGTATGCTATGCGTTCACCTATGGCTTACTGTTAGTCAGCTTAGGATTCCTCTACTCCGATCCATTCAAGACTTGCACACCGACCGTGACTTCCTGTTTCTAAATATACGGGACCATAAGACCTAAGCGTGCTTGACGGTTAATTCAATGAAAATTTTAGGCACTTGTAAACAAATTTATTTACAACATATGAACCATTTTGTTCCGCTACCTATTGCCATCAAGCATGTAATTGTAATTACGTCTTCCAAGAACTTCTCAGTAGGACGTAAAGTTTTTCCCATTAATAGAGTTTTGTAGTGTCCGGATTAAGTTAAAATCTGAAGAGAACCATTAATAGAAATTAATCTTTAGATATTTCACCATGCTAAGACCACGACGCTTTTTTCATTATTCCTAATACAAGGAAATTTTTTAAGTACGTCCGAAGTTGAACAACCATTAATGACTATCCACATAGAGTGTGAATGTAGGGCTTATCCCCCCCAATTAACCCGAGGAATATCGAGTACTCTGTGATTGTGGTGAGTGCATGTAATTTATTAGCGTGAATGACAGGGTTTAACCCCAACTACCCTGAGAAATATCGAGTACCCATGGTAGTGTGCATACTAACCTAAACAAAAAACTCTTCCGAGTGTGTAAACAATATTGACTAAATAAAAATGCTTAAATCTTCTGAAAAACGCTAAGGACTTAATTTACAACCCAATATAATTCATAATCATAATTGAAACGATTAATCACTATAATTATTATTACAATTAATACTCAATTAATGGGGGGCGTCGGGGGCCGCAACGGTTTACGCGTGACACGGCGCTCATCACTGAAAGGTAAAGGTCCCGGGTTCGAATCCAGTGGCCCTGGAACTTTTATTCTGTATTCGAACTCTACATACTGACAAACGAGCTTTTTTTTTTTACTAAAACAACCCAAGGATCCATGGAATACTTTATAAAGGCAACATTGGTGAAATCCCCAAAAATTTTGACGGAAAAGTCATTGCACGAGCATTGAGTCTTTAAAAAAACAGATTTTGCTATTGGTTATTCTTTGAGAGGCTAATACGTTCGGAAGCACGACTTTTTTAACGAAAATGTTGATACCTTGTGGAAAATTTAATGCAATTTGCAAAAAAAAAGGTCAGATGTGTATTTTAATGTCGCTAAATTACGATTTTATGAGAAAAAATCCGATTTTAGGCTAAAATTACAAAAATGAAGATAAAAAATCGTTCTGGTATTATTTAGTGAATCCACCATGGCAGTATTAACATTTAACCCTGATACACTAAAAAAAAGTCCCGGGTTCGATTTCAGCGGCCCTGCATTCGAACCCGACATACTTACAGAAGGGCTTTTTTTTCACACCAGCACACCGAGGGTTAATATAATATATACCTATATGATTAAAAAAAAGGGCATTTGTATTTTGTGGTTTATTTAAAAAAATCAATTAATGAATTATTAAGTACATTGGAATTTCCAAATAGGAGATATGATTGAAGATGTTTGAAATGCCCTATAAATAAAATTTATAAAATTTGTTGATCGCCTAGATTTAAAAAAAATAATAGACTTAGTGTCAATGTTGTTCTTTAAACTTTCATGAGTTTCCAATAGTTATAATGAAGTAAAACCGTGATTTTTTGTTGTAATGAAGTTTAGTTTAATGTAGAGGAAACACCCCCGTGCTTTTACAAATTCATTATCCAAAGGGTTACATTGATCGTTTCAAAGACTATGTTCTTTTTATCAGTAAAAAAATAAGAATAATCACAATTATTGATTTTTACTAGCATTCGTGTATACAATAGAAAAAATGGGACCAGACATGCTTTACTCTCTCACCAACTGCAAAAAATTAAAAGATAAGGCCAAATGGTAAGATCATTAAGATTCAAAGTAAGAAAGGTGTTATTGGTTTGGTTTTCGCCGTCTTTTCAACAGGGTAATGATTATTTGACAGGTGAACATTAAGAGATCCCGTGGGATGGAAAAAGTGGAGTTGAAGCATCCGTCCGAAGGGGGCTCTGGCAATCGTGGCGTCTGGCGCAGGCCCAGCGGATGCTGTAGGATGATCACAGAGCAGTGTCTCCGGTTCTGACCGTGTCCCGGGACTCTAGCAAACCTCGCCGCTTCAAACTATTCGCCCATAGCTGAAGATCACGGAAAAAACACCACTCGGCCGATATTTACGACAAAAAAGGGACACAAAAAGGTGAGTTTTGTATACAAAAGTTATTTTTCACCCTTTTCCCCCCTTGCGTGAGGTTTATTTTAATCTCGTTTCAATATAATCAACTGTGTCGTATATAAAACTATCCTGAATTACATACATTCAGAAAATTTAATAATATTTGTGAAAATATGCATTTACAAAAATGAAAACAGAAAAAACAAAAAAAAACCCAAACAACATTTCCTTCAATTTAAAATAACAAACCAAACATAACACCTTTTCCGCTAAAATTTAACGTACACCCTCATGTAAGAGGGACTTAGCATCTCCATTGAGCTTTATACAAAAGGTTATGTTTACTACAAGTCAAAAGGGTTTTTGACTGCGTTTGACCTTATGGAGGGTTGCTATGAATTTTTGAAAGTTCCCAAGATGGCACCCCGAAGCAGGGAAAATTTTTGTTCGCGAAAATTGTCCAGTTCCAAAAATGGTGCATTGGAGTAACAGGTGACTCATGAGAGAAACGCTTTTGGTATGATGGTTGAGTTAGATTTTGAGATCTATGCCGAACAAAAAATTCTACGGGATAACATTTTTTTTGGTCTTACAATTCATGCACAATACAAAACTCTACAAACAAAAATGACCCGCAATAAATCAAATTAAATAACAGAAAAAAATCATAAAGCAAAATACTAATTTATAAGTAATAAATAAAAAATAATTAATACAATTACAAACCAGTAGGTACTGCAATGTTGTTGTAAAATTAAAGTAAATCAAGCCGGCTAGTAATGATAATTTCCCACCCTACACCTTATCTGGTGGAACTGTTTGGTTTTAGAACAATTTACGTAAATCGCTTTTTATTCACATATTCCAAATGAATTTTTATGACTAAAAATTTTAAAACTGCGCTGACAACAGCATGCATGACCAAGCCGGCGTACTTGATCAATGTCTGACTTCTTAAAATAAATTGACTATACCTTGTTACCCAGGAACGTTATGCATTTTCCTGAGGTTGTACTAATTAACAAATTGTCTTCATTTAACATAAACAATTGTAAGACGGAATTTAATTTGGTTTTGTAAACGTAGGATGGCATACTTGATGTTTATTTGGCCATTTTTCTCTCTTTCTACCTCCCTCAATTTTCTTGCTTTATCCTAACGCCAAAAATTAATATTTTGTAAATAAATAGATAAAAATTGATAAATTTATGGGCCTTTCGTGGTAGATCACGATAGTTTTTATACTAAACTTTTAAAAAGTGTTTTAAATTGTATATATTTCATTTCCATAAAAAAATAAATAGATAACATAATTTTATTTCCTTCCCTTCAAACACATATACACACNGTGAGCGAGAGAGCGAGAGAGAGAATAATGAGATAATAATAAGATTTGAATTTCTCAGAAATGATAGAAGTTAAAGAAATTATAAAGGCTTAAACTCTTATTGAAACAATTTATACAAATAATTAAACAACCGGGCCTCGTTTTTTCGTGACGAATAATACAATGGAATAAAGTCAAAATTCTCTGGTAGAAAAGAAAAAAAAAATTAAAAATGAAAGACATACATACAATTGTCTAAAATATAGTTAGTTACAAAACTGATTAAATCCTAAATTTAGGTACTCTCTTATTACATACACTCCGATTAGCCAATTCTTAATCTGCATTTATAAAAGATCGGTTATTTGTCATTTTTCCACTATTGTATCGCTTAATTAAGCATAAAAAATTTATCCAATATGATTTTAATTTAAACCCGTTGCAGATGGCGTGAAGATGGGTCCAGACTGGCTTGGCGGCCCTTGGCCATGACCCTAGAAAACATAGACCCACCATGCTCCTCTGCGCCGTCATTCTCATACTGTCGTCTCCCTCCAGGTAAATTAACAAAAAACTAACATCTTTTGCTAGGAATTTTAAATACTGCTAGTTAGTGCAAGTCTTTAAGACTTTGACAAGGTTCAGATACTTTAACATACGTAGAAGTGCACAATTTCTAAAAAAAAGTTTATGTTATAAAATTAAAAAGTATATTGTTTACACTTTGGTCATCATTAGTAATAGTTTTACCTAAAACAAGACGATATGCATATAATTTTTTTTTATAAACAGTCTAAATTCATTACGACGGGCCTGTGAATTCAGATCGCGTCTGCTTTGTAGATCGGAGAGTAAGAGGATCCGACCATACGCTAAAGTATCTGTCGGCTATGTAGGAATTGAGGAAAAAAGTGTTTAAAATGTATTTCCGTTGTAATGAGTATCCAGAGCAAACCTGGTGTCAGACACGACTTCGAGAAACTTGCGAGGATGACTTCAAAGGAAGATGCCATGATGCCCACTGTTGAAAACGGATGTTTATTGTCAATGAATTTATACAATCATAAAAACGTACATTTCATCTGAATTAACTCAGTAGATAACAAAATAGATTCTTGTTTCCAAATTTTGATAAATATGATAAGACATTTACATACAGACAAAGCCCGTGACTTCATGGGGCATATTTATACCCTTCTAAAACTCAAAATTTGCCAAAAAAACATTTAAAGACCAAACCAGACTTCATCCATAACGTTCTCGCTATAACTATAAAAAATGGGTTGTCGTTATAAGTGAAAAACTATTTTTTCTTCTTAAAAAGTTGCAAAGATTTAATGGAAACAAGACAATATACTTATAAAGAGCCCCTTACATTCAGAAGCGAGCTTTGATGTAAAGCTCAGAAATTGTAACCGCATGTTAAACCATTTGTTTAGAAATTAAGTATTTATGGTTTGTCATTTGTAAAAAATTGAACTGCTTGACTTTTTTTTATAGCAAAGATTGGAAACCATTTAACATACAAAGTGAACGCACAGAATTGTATGTATCTGCCAGACAGACCCCTTTAATCTCATACAAATGTTCCAAAATTCCCAGACGGCACAACCACAGAGAAACGTTCAAATGGGATTAGAAATGACTGTGCGTGTACAATCTTGGCCTGAGTACAAGACACACTTCAAATCCCAAGTTTTCTAGTTCAAGATTAATATTTTTATCGATAATGGCTGGAAATGATCGATAAGAAGATTTATTCATACCCACTCACTTTCACGAACGTAAGAAGGATCATAAAAAGGTCCGTACAATGGGAAATAAATAAATCGGATCACGCATAGAATTTCAGATATATCTGGACCTCTGCCACGCCGGAAATAAGTAGGTGTCTAATATCCGATTCAAGTGGTATAGTCGCTACTGTACAAGACGGGATTTGTCATTTCCCTTATCTCCGATTCCCGTTTCAAATTGATTTCCGAGCCGTCGAACTGTTGTTGTAAACGAGTGTTGAGTTCATGCAACGCTTCCTCCTAAGCAACAATCCCCAGTTCCAGCCATGTGATCAGTAATTAATGTAACGACTAGTAAACATTAAAAATTAGCATAGTTTGTAAGCATTTCACAAAATTAATCTGAACAAACAGGTTTACAGTTTTCCATTTGATCAACTCTACTCGTTGCTAATAATAATTAAGACAATTTAAGACGACATTAATTTTCCCGTCCTTAAAGAGTACCGAAGACCTATGTAAATTATCCAGTTTACAACTAGCATATTTTTTTTCCAGAATCAAACTAGCAGTCAAGCTAACATTTTATTATTACAATGTTGGTTTTATATTATTATTTTACAGTGCAATAATGTCATCAGGGGCCATAGACAGGTTAGCCAACGTAACGCAGACGATCTCTAGGCTACTTGACGGCTACGATATTCGATTAAGACCCAATTTTGGAGGTACGTCTTCTGTATTGCCCTTAGTACATATCAGAACTATTAGACCCACTCACACAAAAAAAATAGAAGACAAACATACACTCGTACATACATAAACACACAAAAAAGAACAGAATACAGTTACCAAGAAACACTGATTCAGAAAACGAAAACTCTTTCAATAGCTCTCCTCTTCATACATACTCACTCTCTAACCCTTTTGTAACTAACTTTCTATTTCTGTCTGTTGCTCTTTTTGTGACGGTTTTGCTTCTGTTTGTTTTAGTCTGCATTTATTCCACTTCAATCTTTGTTTTTGATCACTCTTTCTGTCTCTCTAATATCCTCTACTCCGCTTTCCTTCTTTCTTGTTCTTCCTTTTTCTATTTATCTTTCTATTTTTTTTTCTTCAGCCTATATTAGTCTGAATGTCTCTTTCAGTCCTTTATTTATATTTTTTATTATTTAGGTGTGCTCTGCTCTGTATCAAATTCTTTTCTATCTCTATTTCTCTTATGTTGTCTAGATTTATCTGAAGTATTTCTCTGTCTCTCTGTCTGTCTCTCTCTCTCTCTCCCTCTCTCTCTCTCTCTCTCTCTCTCTCTCTCTCTCTCTCTCTCTCTCTCTCACCTTCCCACTCTCTCTTTCTCTCTCTCTCCCTCTCTCTCTCTCTCACACACACACACACACTCTCTCACTCACTTTTATCCCCATCTATACGTTTCTCAAATTTCTTCCTTCTTATTTCTGTTTATTTTGGTTTACATCTACTTATCTTCTATTTTCGGTTTTCTCCACTGTCTCTTTCTCTCTAATATTCACTGCCCCTCTCTTTCCTTATCCTTTTTTCCTTCTCTGTCTATTTATGTATTTTTTCTTTTTCAGTCTATATTTTTGTGTCTGTCTGTCCCACTTATTTAAGCCATTTATTATTTCTATTTGGTTTGTTCTTTATCCCCTCTGATCGTTGATGGTTTTACAAACCATCTCTCTCACTCTCTCTCTCTCTCTCTCTCTCTCTCTCTCTCTCTCTCTCTCTCTCTCTCTCTCTTTCTGACACACAAAAACATACATACTTTATTTATCTCTTTAACTCTTTCTCACAATGATTTCATAACGTAAACTCTTAATAAACATTACATTACATGACTATCACTTCACTTTATGCCTGAAGATGACCACAACAAAGTTCGGAGCGTTGGCAATTAAATGAAAAAGGTGTTTTTTCTGAAAGACTTCTAACCTGACCGCTACTCACTACTACAACCACTTACTTTCTCACATTCTTTCTCTTTCCGTCTGTTGATCTTTTTCTGACCTTCTTATTTCAGTTTATTTTCGTCCAAATCTATTTCTCTTCTAATTTCGTTTTGTCCACTCTTTAATGCTCACTGCTCCTATATTTTCTTCTTTATTTTTCTTCTTCTATGTATCTATTTAACTATCTATTGTTTTCTTCCTCAGTCTAGCTTTTTGGGTTTTCTCTCGCACCCCATCATTTATAGATTTTTATTATTTCTGTCTTGTACTTATCGATTTCTCTTCTATATCTATTTCTCTTACGTTCTATAGGTATCTCTCCAATATTCATTCCCCCTCTCCCCCTGTCACCTTCTTATTTAGACCTTTCTTTCAATCACTCCCTCTTTCTCTCACTCTCACTTATTCACGTCACATGCAAAACTCGTTCTTTATTATCTGACATGTTTACCAGCCTGATAAAAAACACAAAGAAAAATATGATAGGAAAACAAATATATAGCCTAGACAAGCAAAGAGAAGCTTGATCGTCTCCGATCATCCTGGCCTGACAATTTTCGCTGATTTCTCCTCTAAATGCCCAAAAGGCTGGTATCTGTGCTGGTCTGCGTCCTATTTGGTCAGTATTGCCCTTATTGTGCTTTTGGTCAGCAAACGTACGACTAGGAAGATCGGAGACGCTCAACCGCACGTTTATACCGTTAAAATTGTTTGCAAACTTTGTTTTCAGGTGAACCTCTGATCGTCGGGATGGACTTAACCATAGCTAGTTTTGACTCGATCAGCGAAGTAAACATGGTAAGAAATCAAAATTACCATTGTCATTTCAATGTAGAATAGAACGATTTTAACTTTTTTAAGTGAGACAGTTTGAACTGTCTGGCGGATCGCTGTGACTAGTGGTTAGGACGACCGTCTAGCCCATGGTATTTTCATTAGGAATAATTTTATGTAAATATTGTAAAACGGCTCTAACCCCACGTCCTGGAGGCCCAAAGGATATTTGGACGTTAACCCCCCCTCCTATCCTAGTATTTTACAATTACCTCTCTGTATATAGAATAAGCCGTATTAAAAAATTTAAGTTAAACGAAAATGAGAATTTATAGCAGTATGGAGCAGCACTCAGCTTCATGGTTGACTTGATTGTTGTCAACGAGAATGAGCGAGTGTTAGAGTAAGAATGTGATAATAATAATATAAAATAAATAATAATGAATAAAGAATAAATGAAAGAATGAAATAAAGAATAAATGTACTGAACTGAATGATAATAAAGAGGATAAAGAGGAACAAAAGAGAGAGAGAGAGCGAGAGAGCGAGAGAGAGAGAGAGAGAGAGAGAGAGAGAGAGAGAGAGTGAGCGTGAAAGTGAAAGAAATATATTTTTCTTCCTGTTTCAAGTTTCAATTGACGTTTCGTATTATATTTGTTATTAAAATGTTATTTCATTAAAACAATCAGTAGCTACTTTGTTGAACACGTCTAATAAAAAAAAGTTGATAGTAGGCGAGAATATTTGATAGTAAGCTTAAACCAAAGTATTGGATAATTGATGAAATTGAGTTTAATGGATAAAATATCATGTGTACATTCGTCGTGTATTTAATATTACATTTGTTTATGTTGGCTCTGTTAAAAACCAGATCTGATCTAGCCAATTCTACTATCGAGTAAGCATTCTTCCACTTTGCAAGGGCCGTTACTTTGATAAGACATAAAAAAAATCCTATTGACGTTTGTACTTCACTACGCCTTTTTGTGAGAAAGGCAGGGAAAATGGCGTTGTAGATAAAGTATAAAAAAATCTATATGTGAATACGGGTATATTATTAAACTATAAAAAAAAGTTAATAGTTTATTTCTGTTAAACATTCAAAAACCGTAACATAAATGATAATATGTTTAGATTTATCATTTTTCCCCTAAAATTTTTCCGATTTATGAGAATTCTTTATCGGAAATCTGATTGAAACGGCTGTAATTAAAAAACGGTAAAAACATACCATTTGAAAGAAAAGAAACATAGGTTTTTAACGAGTATGTACCATTCAAATATATAAAATATTTCTGTAAGAAAATGGAGGCATTTATGGAATTACTTATTCTCACTTGTTAACAAAGACTCAACGTTTTCAATAACAACGTACACGTTATAAATAAATTTCATATTTTAACAAACATTCTGTAAGAAAAATAGCCTCTAGATAGTCCAAAAGTCTAGAAGGATAAACAAACAAATTTAGCTGGACAGCTTGTCTGGATAGTTTCAGGACATTTAACATTAGCAATTTTTTTGACTTGTTTTTTTTGTACTCGTTTTAAATAGACTTAAGGGTTAATGAAGCTTTTTCCAAACTCTAATTTTAGTCGCAATTAAATGAGCATGAATTGTTATTTACATATTAAAACAATATTACTTGTAGTGTATCAATTGTTGGCTATTATGAAATCAAAAATGTTCTATGACGCAGAATATTCTAATTTGGTATAGTTAAAACAATCAACAAAACACTGCCTTTTTTCATATTTTAACAAACATTCCGTTAGCAAAGTAGCTCCATGTTAGATGGTCCAAACGCCTAGAAAGATAAACAAACAAATTTAGCAGTATAGTTTCAGGGACATTTAAAGTCTGGAACGTGAGCAATTTTTTTGGGCGCTTTTTTGTGAATTTTTCAATTCAACTTACAACTGACATGGTATCTGAATTTAGGTACTTAGTAGTGCTTAATAAATCAATAGTGGATTGTTTTTACAAACAATTCGATACTTGGAAAAATTGATTTTGAATATGCATGCGCACGTTCTTGTCTGTCTAGATATATTTTCTAGATTATCCACTTATGTATGTTGACACGGTGTTTTGGAAGAAACAGCAATTTTGCCCTCCTGGGATCGGGCCAAGTGGGCCGGCTGGAAATAGCAGGGCGAATCACCACTTCACATCTTCAATACAATCATTTTAATGTTTGATACCTGGCTAATGGTTTTAAATTGTAATTATAAACATCAAATATTTACTCTTCATTTGCTAATATATTATTTTAATCCGTTTTTAACGGAAATTAACCATCAACTGATTAGTACGACCATTTTTTTTCGTATAGATCCTGATTAATTAAGAAATACTGAAATCACCAAATAAGTTTTATATATCAGATTGGATTATACTAAGAAAAATTTAAAATTAAAATTATTTAATTAAATATAATTTTTATTATTTAAATTAAAAATTATTATACTATTGGCAATCCTCCGGAAGATGTCCAACCCCTCTAACTTCCCTAATTTTGATCCGATTTAAATATTTTTTTTTAAATTTTCGATAATCTAATTTTTAGATGTTTCATCGGTTCCTGAAATAACTTTCTGGTTGTTTTTTGGCATAAAATATGCTCTAACTTTTCGTTAAAATGAGGTTCTTTGCTTTATTTCGGATTTCAAAACAAAATTATTTTTAAGAATTTTTCGCTTCTTCAGAAAATTTCTGTTACTTATTTAGCAAAGAATGACAATTTTCTGCAAAAAAAAAATCATGGATGTGGTTAAAAGGAGACTAGGTATACAAACTATATCCAATGAGGCTTAAATAAAATAGCTGTCATCACAGATAAGACTGAATTCTGACCCATTACCAAAACCACGTGCACCTGTGTGTGCGGAGTTGAGCTTTTCAAAATCAGTAATCAGTAATTTACAGCTATTTTATTAATAGTCAGCATATTCAAGTTTGTAAGTTAATCAAAGGATTTCGCAGAAAATAACGGCATAACTACTATACCTAGGACGTGTTAGAAATGTAATGATAGTACGACTGCTGAATGCTGACAGACTCCAGAAGCATATGTTTTTCGGAGGTTTTTTAGAGCATAGTAAGCCTGTGCAGTTATTGCCAGGAAGAAGAAGAAACAGCGGTACATGTCCTTTGTTCGTCCTATGTAATCTGAGATTCCTTGGAGAGGAAATACCTAGACCTGAAAGATTCCTACGGGAACCCTTAACAAAGCTTAAAAGATTTAAAGAAAAGCTTTAGATAAAATTGGAGATTGCACAAAAAATCAATAATGGTCGGTGTGTTAGGTAGTCAAGACGTCGATTTCTTTTAAACTCGACCTTAATCTATGACTATTTTATTAACAGTCAGCATATTCTCGCTGTGTCTTTTTATTGGACCTGGTTTTGTGGTTTGACAACTATAGTCTCAATGTCCAACAACTCCATTAATATTGGATATAAATTATTTAAATTAATTAATCTTTATGTAAAGTATTGGTTGAAATGAAAAAGCTAGTGCCGCGAGCGGGATTTCTGGATTCAATCCACTCGGACACCAACTTCCCATTTGTCGCCGAGAATCAAATCCTGATTACACGACATTTGAAAAATGACAAAAAGGAGGGAAAATTTGAAAGGTAGGTTGGAGATTGGAAGTTGGTGCCCGAGTGGATCGCAGTCACGATAGCTATAATGGTAGAGCAGCGGCATATTTAGCCAAAGGTCGTGGGTTCGAATCCCGCTCATGACACTAGCTTTTTCATTTCAGCTAATACCGTACATAAAGATTAATTTATAGAATGAAGTTATTTGGTCAATCGGATCACGAAACATAATGGATTGGGTATAAAGCGTAAGCAACTCTGACAATTTTTCCTGCTAGAACTAAATAAATAATTAAAACGATAAAATAATATTTAACTAGCTCAGACAACATTTGATTATTTTTAAATGATAAAAAGCTTTTTGGCTTATCGAATAATAAAACTTAATTGTCAGGCGTAGAGTAATTCTGTCTATTTCTTTAACTACAAACTATAAAGCTTCTTAGTAATAAACTTAGTAATTAATCCAATTATTTTTATACATATTGATAAAAGTTTTCTTCACAGGCAGTAAAGTTTTGTTTGCTATCGTTTTGTGGTTTTGTTTTAAATTAGTTTTGTAATTTGTTTAAAATGGGCATTTTAGGAGCTTTAGAAAGCACTACTTATTAAAAGTAGCAAAAAAAAGTGTCCTCCTTTGTTATAATGAAGTCTGAATTTTATTATAGAAATTTAGATTAGTAATAAAGTCAGTACTTAAGAAGACAATAAAAGCTGTATAAATTCTAATCTACTTCGCGGCAGTTCTAACCGGCCTGGAACTTTTGTTCGCTCCAACTTTTGTCAGAGAGAGAACGAGCGGACTTTAATTTACTTAGTACCTTTAAACAAGACACGTTAGAAAATAAAATGATTTTTCCATTCAACAACAAACTCGCTATAACTGTTATATAAATGCTGGATTAAATCCTTTAAAGGATGATGATAGAAGAGGATAATCCGGTTCTGGGATTAGGTCTTAGGTCATGGCCCAATTTTGGTTGAACTACTTGATCTAATTTATGCTGTTAATTCCCTTTTCGCAAACGCTACCTTGCTTTTGATGGGAACTTAGTTCATTTAAACTACAAAGCTCAGGGGCGTAGTAACGACCGTTTTATCGATTCGGTTCTCATCTCTTAGAAACTTTACTATTTTTATAGAATTCTGTGTTCCAAAGAATTTACATAAAAATATACATATGTAATTAATATTCAAAGAAAATACTTATATACATGTTCAAACAGGACCTTTTGTGTGGAGTCAGCCATTGTGCAGTTATTCCATTTCCATTTTCCACATTCCCCAATCAGTGCATTTATTGTGGTTGGTGATTTACTTAATCCATAAACCATTTTTGTCGTAAATGAGTTAGATTTGGGCAAATAGAGAAAAAGTGGTATATGTTTTCTTCCTCATCTAAATTGCATGAAACTTGGTTTATTATTTGACTTAAATATAATTTTTTGTCAAATTTAAAACTTTATAAATAGAAAAAAGACACTTGTAAGATAGCTTTATCAAGTTTTATTTAACAACAATTCATTAGGAAATAATCGTGCCACTCTTCAGAGAAAAATTTAATCATTTATGAATATTTCATCTTTTTTAGGACTATACGATTACTATGTATCTAAACCAGTATTGGAAAGACGAACGGTTGACGTTTAGCCAGGACGACGAAGTGCTGACATTATCTGGAGATTTTGCCGAAAAGATCTGGGTTCCGGATACGTTTTTTGCCAATGACAAAAACAGGTACATTACCAAATAGAATTTTCGTATTATACGCTTAGTGTATGACGTCGGTTTTTAGTTTCCTGCACGACGTTACGGAGAGGAACAAATTGGTGAGGTTGAACGGAGACGGTAGCATTACTTACGGAATGAGGTTCACGACGACATTGGCATGTATGATGGACCTACATTACTACCCTCTAGACTCGCAGAATTGTACAGTGGAAATAGAAAGCTGTAAGTGTCGTTTTGATTTTTTTTTTAAACAATAATTTACAAAGCGTAAACACGCTTACTAGTAGTGGTAGCAATTAATTTAAACACTTAGGGAACCCAATTTAGCATCACGTACAGATATCTATCGAGACTGCTTGATCAACATATCCCTCTATATAGCAATAAAAACTATTTTACAACATAATTTCTTGTAGTACGGTTAGTAATAAGACCCAAAATATCCCATGCTGCTCCTAATCTTCTGGACCAAAGCTCAACAGAAGTAAGTTACCAAAAAATTGAACACCATACCAATGTTGGCAAACGACTTTATTATCCAGGGGGCAATGAATACAACCCCGTCAACCGCATTCGAAATTGAGTTAAACCTCCATTGGAAATATTTACACAAGGAAAAGCATATTTAGACCTTTCAAACACCTATTTTAACAATTTCCCACGTTCAGAATTCCATGCGAGCAGTTTAATTCTGTGCAAAACATGTAGTGTAATTTTTGTTAATTTGTTCCGAAAAACTGTTGCTATTTAAGTCACAATGTAGTCTATGAAAGTGTGGGGTTCACTGAAATTTCCACCATCAGGGTGTTTTTAAATCAAATTTCTCGTTATGATTGTTTACCTATTATTGCTTTGAAAAATAGAAAATAATCATTTCAATACGATGAAGAGTTTTGGAGAGAAATGTACTAAGATATGAAAAACTACAACTTTCCAAGGGATGCGATTTTCTGATCGAGCTCGAATCTTTCCCGTTGCTGTCCACGTTACATAATAATAAAAATACATAATAAAACATAATTATATATTACATTTATTGTTACGCATTATATTTTTATACATAATACACATCATATTACATACATGATAAAAATGTAACAAACCGATTCTTCTTGCAGTAGGGAGTTGATAGACAATGAAATAAAAATTTGAGAAAGTTACCTGGGAACATAAATGATGTTTATTAATGTTATTTATTATTGTAGATGGTTACACAGTAAGCGATGTTGTGATGTATTGGATGAATACTCCAGTGAGAGGCGTCGAAGAAGCGGAATTACCTCAGTTCACAATAATAGGATATGAGACCAACGACAGGTTGTGGACATAAAAATTATAATAATTTATTTGTTATATATAACAAATCTACTATTTTTTGGTAATTTTTGGTACTCTGAATTTAGGAAAGAAGAACTTGCGACGGGAGTATACCAGAGGTTATCTTTATCTTTCAAGCTCCAAAGAAATATTGGCTACTTCGTGTTTCAGACTTACCTCCCATCGATTCTCATTGTGATGCTGTCGTGGGTATCTTTTTGGATAAACCACGAAGCAACAAGTGCCAGGGTTGCCTTGGGTAATACTTATAAATTAATCTTGTCCGGTACAATATCCCGCCCTTCGATTTCGTTTTGTCTTGTTTAGGGATTACGACGGTGCTTACGATGACAACGATCAGCACAGGGGTGAGGAGCTCCCTGCCTAGAATATCATACGTGAAAGCCATCGACATCTACCTCGTTATGTGCTTCGTGTTCGTCTTCGCAGCTCTGCTCGAGTACGCCGCTGTCAACTACACCTACTGGGGAGCGAGGGCCAAGAAAAAATCGAAAAAGAACAAAGAAGTCGAGGAGGCCAATAGGAAATCAAGCATATGCGGTATATTTTATATTCTCGGTTACTATTTAGTTTAGATGTTGAGTCCCAAAGTTGTACTGGTCGACACTGACATCGGTTCAGAGTTTCACACTGAAGATGGCGTGAAGCCGAAACGCGTTTGAGTGTAACGTAAACCATCGAGAGTATGATTTTGTGAGATTTCTCATTTAATTTGGTCGTTACGGATCATTTTGGACTGTCAGACGCGATTCAGCATTTCGCCATTTTCAGAATATCTGTAGGATTGCTATATAAAAAGAATATAAAAACATACACATCCACATCAGCAATACTTACATAATTAGCACAATACATATTACCTAGTCCTGCCATAAGTTTTGTTACAAGAAAAAGGGCCATTAGGGAATAGAGAAACTTGATAATTTGAAAAAGAAATTTATTTTAAAAATCCAATATTTTTTAAGATTGAAATAAAATAATATTACTCGAAATGACTACCTTTTGCTTTCACACAAGCTTTTAGACTTCGGGGCCAATCATCTATGGCAGTATGCAACACGTCTTGAGGAAATTTCTCAACTGCTTTTAGCAGAGCTGACTTGAGGCTCTCTAAATTGGCGTGTTTCCTGTGGCAAGCCATAAGCTCAAGATGGGACCACACCTTGTAGTCCAGAGGATTCAAATCTGGGCTTCCCGAGGGCCAATCTGAAGCCTTAATGTATTCCGGAACATTCTCCTCCAGCCACTGCTGAGTTGTTCGGGCCTTGGGCGCAGGAGCTGAGTCCTGTTGGAAGACCCAATGAGTTCCGGAAAAAAGAGTTGTACTTAAGGACTTTATTACTTTCTCAAGGATGTCTTCTTGGTAATTTTTCGCCCTTGTTGTTACTCCTTGCTCACAAAAATGGAGTTTTGTGGTGCCATCATAGCAAACTCGCCACCACACCAAGTGGGGATTGAATCCTCTGGACTACAAGGTGTGGTCCCATCTTGAGCTTATGGCTTGCCACAGGAAACACGCCAATTTAGAGAGCCTCAAGTCAGCTCTGCTAAAAGCAGTTGAGAAATTTCCTCAAGTCGTGTTGCGTACTGCCATAGATGATTGGCCCCGAAGACTAAAAGCTTGTGTGAAGGCAAAAGGTGGTCATTTCGAGTGATATTATTTTATTTCAATCTTAAAAATATTGGATTTTTTAAAATAAATTTCTTTTTCAAATTATCAAGTTTCTCTATTCCCTAATGGCCCGTTTTCTTGTAACAGAACTTAAGGCAGGACTAGGTACATTACTGTTACAGTCCTTGGAAATGTTGGGACTGAGTCGGTTTTCAAAGAAATTTGAAATCGTCTGTTAAAAAGTTAATTATGTCAATTTAGACATATTTAGAACTGTTTAACTCTGATGATGATTTCAAAATAAATCGAAAGTTGGCAGTAACAATTGAATTTGCTGTTTCAAATTTGCTTTTTCATTAAGGCCATACCGTGACTATTCGTAAAAATATAAAAACAGACTTTTATGAGATTTTTCCATATGGTCTGCGAGGAAGGAATAAATAATCCGCACTTAATCTACCCAAGTCACGGACAAAGAAGCCTCCACCCCTTCAAGACAATATATTATATATTATAACAACATATTATAAAAAAACATTCGTCTTCACCGAAATCACACAGACTCTAAAGGTAGTGACGTTTGACGGTCCAACCCAGCGAGGATAAGCAGAATGAAATGATCGTAACGACCAAATTACAGATTGATTTCGTGATGTTTTCTTTTGCTATTCGTCTAAATTATAAATCACGCTCAAGGTGAAATACACCAAACTTGAAAGCACACACTTACAGTTCTGCCGTAGATCCGGGGAACAGTTTTTACGAAAAAAGGTCAAATCTTGATTTATTTTTAGACTTCAATGTCACTTTCATTAAAACGCCGATTGTATCCGAAAGAAGAGCACTTATTGTTCTGCAATTTTTCTGCTCAATTTATATCTCTATATTGGAATGGTAGTTAGCTTTTATTCATAAAATCATTACCTTTTTAGATTGGTTCTGATTAATTAATTTTGTGTGCTTTTATTTAAAATCATGAGCTTTTTATTTCTCTAACCATATTTGCAATAAAACGACTGAAGACAAAAAAAAGCTGATTACTTCAAATAAAATACTACCAAATTTATTTAATTAATTAATCGTAAGAAAAATATATGCTTTTTTTGTGCTGAGAATCTAACAGAGCGACCAAAAAGGCAAATAAAACAGTAGTTTTTAAATATTTTTTTGCATACAGTACAACTACCTTCAATTGGGTAACAAGTAACAATAAGTGTATGAAATAAATAAATAAACAAGGGTGGAGAAACAACCCACTGATAAAATTATAAAAAACTATTTAAAATTCTAAAATAAATCTTGTGTTTCGTTTATAAAGAAAATGGACTACTTCCTTCACCTGTCTAATTATTATATTTGACCTGTGTTGATGGAAAAAGAACAGTATTTTCTCTATATTACCGAATTATTATCTATATTATTGGGCAAAGTCATTCGTCGATTTTTTTCAGCTACCATATCTTGCCCGAATATACTGTGTATGTATTACTTCTCTTGCACATGTGATCAAAAAATATCACATGAAACAATTTTATTTGCGAATCACCTGCCCTGCAAATTTATTTACAGATAATTTATTTGATTTTTTATATATTACTTGAATAAAATAAAACGATCTGGCATAAAATATTACACACACTTATTTTTCATCTCAACCTTTTTAGCATAAAACTATATATACATTAAAACTCGTTAAGATAAATAATAAAATATTAAACGTATGTAACTTTAAAGATTAATATATAAATTTTAATATCATAAGTCACCGAGCTAAGCCCATTTTATTACCTTGTCTAACTCTCATATTATTACTCAAGCCATTACTACTACTACATAATAATAATATTCGGGAATTCCAACAGAAGGGAATTATGTTTGATTATCACATTCAATCGCTAAAAAAGATGAAAAATAAAAAAGTAACAAGTTTTCAGTGATTATATTACGGAACTAATTATCAAATTCTTCCCTATTTATTCTGGACTCCCACAAGGCGGCGTGCTAAGCTCATTTATTGACAATGTTTATACAAGCGACTTCCCTAACATGAAAACATCACAATACCCAATTCGCAGAAAACGTAAGATCCCCTAAAATTGGTGAAGAAGCGCAATGGCGACTCCAACAATAATAAGACCAGTGGAGTAAAAACCCCATGCATATAAAATTAAATTATAAAAAACATTCAAATCTAACAATACACCTGCGAACCTATTCTCCGCAGAGAAATGTCTGTTACCTAGGATTACACTTGAATGAAAAGCTTATGGGCTACCTTCGTTAAAACGTTAATAACAAAAATAATGCATAGCACCCATAGTATCAAACACCGTCTGGAAGTAGACCCGTACTCTCGCTCCATTTGATAAGAGCCCAATAGGCTCAGCAGCACAATCTCACCTGCAGAAGGTAGAAAAAACCCAAAACAGAATCTCAAAGAATGACTAGCGCGCCAAAGAGCACACCATTCAAACCTTAAACAACTTACTGTAGCTTAATCAAATGGTATGAGAACCTCCACATTGCAATGTTAAACCTTCAGACGAGCAGTTACAAATCTACCTCCACCATGCAAACGCCAGAAGGCTTAAAAAAAAGGCCACAAGGCTCACTGGATTAATAATCTCAAACGGATAAGCATTCAGTTTGCTAATTGTTATAAATGAGCGGCTTGCTTAAAAAAATATGTGTATGTGCATATAATTCTAATCTAGGGGCATTGGGTTGAAAAAAAAGGGGGGGAACCTACCTTGGAAACAAAACTTAGGGTAAATATACCATATTGCACGACCGGAGTGTCGTGCAGTTTAGCCTACCCACCGTTTTAAATATTAAGTTCACTAATTTCGTGGTCCGCTTGACCAATTAATACTTTACAATTAATTAAGGTCTTTAGTTTCATCTCAACAAAAAACCTTAATTAATTGTAAAGTATTAATTGGTCAAGCGGACCATGAAATTAGTGAATTTAATGAATTAAAATGAAGTACACTTCACTAAAGCTCTCCGTCGCCATTTCAATTGTCGTCGAGAATCCAAACCGATTACACGACATTTGAAAAATGGCAAAAGGAGGGAAAACTCATAAGGTGGGGTTGAGATGGGGAGTTGATGTCCGAGTGGATCGAGGTCACGATAGCTCAGGTGGTAGAGCAGCGGCGTATCTAGCCGAAGATCGTGGGTTCGAATCCCGCTCGTGCCATTGACTTTTTTATCTCAACCAAAAATCCTTAATTAATTGTTAAATATTAAGGTTGATGATTTTGCCAGATGTTCTGAGTTTTCTCAAAGTGATTAAAATAATAATTTACTGCTTTGGGGGGTTAATTAGCTCAGGTGATTTATTGCGGATAAATTTTCCCTTTGTTATTATCTATTGGCCTTAATTATTTAAAATGAAAAAAAAAATGAATTATTTTAAATGCAGATGCTACTGATGGGTGTAAATTTCTCAAAGCATTCAAATAAATGTTTAAATAAGTAATGCATTTACTTTTTCTTAACCCACTATAATTTTTTTTGTTTTTTTTACTAAAGCCAAAAATGATTTATTTAAATGGGGGTCACTATACCATAGTGCACGACCTAACAGTCGTGCGTTTAGCCTATCTCAAAGATAGTTGTGTTTAAGGCTCCTTGGCATCTTATTAATTTCTCTAAAAATGATAATTTAGCTTATAGAGAGATACGTTTCTCCCCTAATTTTCTAAAAAAAAAATTATATGAGTCTAGTTTACCACGGTAAATTTAGGCTAGTCTAACAATGGAACCGACCCCGTAGAACTTAATTACGGTAATGAGTTGTCGCAGTCGTTTGCCCCTTATTAGGGGTTGTTGTCTTGTGGTTGGCGTACATTTTGAATTATTATTTCGTATTTGAAAGTTTTATAAATATTTTAAAAAGTTATTTTTAGCTTAAAAGAATTTCTAATCTAGGGTTGGTTTTGAAGAAGAAGTTATTTGAAGCCATGACATTCACGGAAAATGAAATAGATCATAAAAATTGTAACTCACTGAAATTCGCAGATTATTGTAAAGACCTGGGCATGATCAATTCAAAGCTTAGATTTAACATTCATTTAATAAATTGTACAACAAGGTAAGACAATTGCGAAGCCTAGTGTACGCGAGACCTAAGGCCTAGTAGTAGGTAAAAAATCCCAGCTTGTTGAGCTAGTCGCACTATTAAATAGCTTTTAGTGTGAGAAGATTACATCTCCTAAGTTGAGAAAATTTGTGCGAAGTTGTGCTGAACAAAAATACACGTACATCGGTTCCAGGATGAGATCAGTCTTAAGCTGTAGGCTCTATGGTTCGATATTCTATGGTTGAATTAAACATGACAAACTATTACTATCTTTTTCTTCTTTTCTGTTTTAAAATAAAAAGATTTGTTTTACCAGGTACGAAAACGACGACTAACGTCTCGGACGGGTTTGCTGGAAGCAGTGCGACAACCGGCAACGAAATAATTGAACTGCAAGACGTTCGACTGTCCCCTATACCTTCAATTAGAAACCGGCACAGTTCCGGCAGGTACATAACCATAATCATATATTGTTCCTTTAAAAATATATTATGTATCGTAAAATTGTTTTAATGGTTTGACGTTGTTTAGCTCTGCTGATTCAGAAGGGTAAACATTTACATAAACATTCAGTTTCACACTCTTCAAAACTATCTTTAAACACACTGTTTTTTTTTTGTATTGATTTCTTTTTTAAGAAAAAGCACAATACCTTCATATAAAGTAAGAAATGCACAAGACAAGCTTTCGCATAATAAATATTTAAAAAAAAACACCAGTGTCTTTTATAAATGGTAACGTTTGAATTCATGCAACCACATGCACATGTAGACATAATTTGGTCATTTTCTTCTATTTATCAATGCTGAATGTGTGTTTTGATATTTTTTCATTTATGTTTTTGTTTGAAGATTAAAACTTGATTTTATCAGATCTATACTAGATGTTTTGACATGGATTGTCTGAGCAGATACATTTATACATTTCAGGGTGTTGGAGGATCCGAGTAAATTCCCACCCAGTTTCAGGATGAGCCGGGGGTCCGGATACTCGGTCCCTGCCGCAAGATCCGGCCTTCGGTTGAGGCCGAGAGGCGGTGCGGCGAACAGGCCGAAAGTTTTCCACGCACTCAAAAAAGGCGCATCTGTCCTCAGAGCGTCCATGCCCAAAATCAAAGACGTCAACATTATTGACAAATATTCGAGGGTGGTGTTTCCGATATCCTTCCTTTTGTTCAACGCTGGCTACTGGTTCTTCTACATATTATAATTTTGGAGGCATCTTCTCCAAAGCGGACACTCCAGCGGTCAATATTTCAAAATTAAAGTGGACTCGATGTCAAGTATTTGTTTAATTATCATTTAGAGTTTTGGCATAGTTTAATCAAAAACCTTTAACGAGAGAGCAAAAGAAAACATTTTCTTTAAATTTATTCTTATAAATAATCTTACATGTTCACTTCGTGTAGACCATCGTTGGATATTAGCTAAAAACTTAAAAGATCGAATCTAGTAACTTTCAATGAAATGGTTGTGATATGAGAGCGTTCAAAAACAATTGCTCGTCAATTTAGGATATTTTTGGTTGCACTCAGTGCAAATTTAAAAAAATGTATTAAATCAATAATTTTATATTCAGTATTTATAAAACAACATGAATGTTTTTTAGATTAGAAATGTTACATGTATAAAAGCGAATTTATAGTGTTATGAAGTCTTTGTTTCCGTTAAAAGATTTATCATTGTTAATAATATTTAATGCAAGTGTATTAAAAAGGAATACAGTTTGCCCTACGTAAAACAATAGGTTGATGTGAAAAAAGGGCCTAATTGACATTATTAGTTTATATTTATTATATGTATTAAATTTATTAGCTAGTTTGTAGAGTAAATTGTTATGTAAAACGTGACATGATAAAAGAAAAACCAATAGGAAGTGAAAGGAAACAAAATTAAATGCCATTTAAGTGTAGTGATTTAGATTTTAAGTAAATGGTAAAAATTTGAATTTAAATTACTGTAAACCAGTTTTCTGTTTTTGTTTATAAATTATATTATCGATTATTTCCAGTTTTTATTTATACAGGAACAAAGTAAATTGTAATACGAGAGAAATAAGAATAGCTCATTTAAAACAAAGTAAAAAACGCGAGGTTAATCCATTAGATTGGCTGGTGTACATATCCACGTTATAATTTTTAAGGAGGACAATTGTAATTATTTATTACTCTTATAAAACCGTTATGGTGTATAGATATAAATATAAGTGTTAATAATCTAAAAAATATATATGTTTACAAAAAGTCTATCAAATTAAAAAAAAAAGTATAATAAAGTTGTAATATAATTTTTGGGACTGACTTTTCATTATTCCTCATTTTACACCATTATGTAACATGGTTTTAAATTTTATAATTGTACTTATAAACACACTTTCACGTTGAGAAGATGGATGATGAAACTATAGCTGAAGATACGGCCAGAGGGTTCGGCTGGAGATCCGAACGGTGTACCAGAAGGGTGTCGTTTACCGTTCATTCGTACATATATCCTATCAATTTGCATGGAAAAAAAATTAAAGTGTAAGTGATTGGAAAGAAAGAGTAAACAAGAACATGTTTTTTTTTAGAGATCACTTTTAGTTAAGAAAGTAAGATATGATAAACTACATCTTGGATATTTGTGGTCAGTTCATAAAAAAAATGAAAATCCTGTTTCTTGGAGGTAATGCAGACTCTTGATTATGTCTCAGAGTTTAAAAGTTGGCAATTATATTGATGATAAACTATTAAAGCCCGTTTGATAACAAATTGAGAACTAAATCTCTTAATCAAACTAATTTATAAAGAAACACGACTGACTAAATAACGCAAAGACTAAAATTGTGAGAAGCGTCTGTCAGAAAAATTGGTTTGAATAGACAAATGATGATGATGGAAGATGATGCTTCATCGCAGATTTCACTGTACTATTTTGAACTTGAATAATTATCCGGAACTTATAAATATGTTAACATATTGGAGTCGCTGTCGTAATGGAGGAGGAAGGAGAGTTGAAAAATGCGTGGTTGGAATGATGAATAAGGTGGGCCAGAAGAGATTGTTCACGTCTATGAAGGATAGTTTCTAAGACAGGGGCATGTATGCGAATTGGATCGTATTGTTTCAACAATTGTCGTAATCTGTGTATTCGGACTGTTTTCAAGAAGTTAGGTCGATATCGGGGTAAGCCGGTTTGTGTCGGACCCTAGTGGGATGCTGCAGAACCGATTCCATCCCCCAAGTGGGCGGGGCTCAGAGACCCAGGAACCCTGCAACAACCCACACAAAAGGGGGGCGACAGAGGAATAACCCACTCCAAGAAGAGATCTGCTCCAAAATCGTGGACCCACCCTTACGATAGGACTGCGGCCGAGGGAGACCGAGGAATACAGTCTTCTCGATCTTCCATCCGTTTCGGAGTGAAATCCGCAAGCCGCCTCCAGCATCCGAGGAGGTGGTGGGATGTGACCTTTTTCCTCCCCGTGTCGTTTCAGGTGCCTTGCCAAGGATGAAGCGATTCCTTTTCTGGCTCACGGCCCTTTTCTTCGCACAAGGTCAGTTCCATGTTATAGAGATCCTTTTTAATTTATTCTCATTTATTTACCATCCCTCTAAACCCTAGATTTTTCCTCTTAGCCGAAGAATACGCCGGATTCGACAGGTATCTCAACTCATGGTCAGTTGCCAAGCAACTCGAAACATCTTTTCTAAAAAAACATTTGATATTAATGAATAATTTCTACTGTAAACAATTTTAATTCTTAAAACACGATAAGCACTAACTTACAATACAGTATCAAACACCTCGATAATACATACATAGTGAATGTTAAACCCACGTCATATTCAGTTTATTAAATTGTACTAAAAATAATGAATTACTCAGCTCAGAAATACAGCATTAGTCACAAAGACGTCTTTTTACAGATTTCGATCTTCGATTATTATCATAATAAATACATAACAAACATAGGCAATCTGCAAATCTACGTATCAAACAATCCAACTATTACAAATTTTTCTTTATACCCCGTAAAATCATGAACAATACAATTACGAAAAATAACACAAAGAAGGCCAAATTAATATGATGAAATAATACAGAACGGTTGATTACATAGTTATTTCTAACAACAATATTTCACGTAAACAATTATACATACAATAACATCAGGAATAAAAAAATTATATCAAGAAAGAAAGAATTGGAGGGATGAAGGTGGATTACATAGACTAAATGGAGAGGGAAGAAATGCATTAAAGTTATTTATAAAATATGCTAAAAACAAATACATTTTATAGAATCGAAACGTATAAAATATTTATGCCAGTATAATAATAAAAATCTTAAAAGTTGGTGATACCAAAGTGATGAATATGTTGTTAGTTAATGGTAAAAAAACGGTTTTAATCATATAATTCATTTTTCTAATAACAATAAATGTTCAAATAATACAATAATTTTTACCTTCTGTTCTATTTTTACATCGAAAAATAACACCGTAGACATTTTAACATAAACAGATGTTCTCGTCCATAGATGGACGTTTTATTTGAAATATATAAATTATAAATCCTTAAAATATTAGATCTATAATGAAAAATAAAAATGAATTAGAATCAGAAAAAAATATAACATGAGATTTAAAATCAAATTGACTCTATGATAAAGATAGAAGTCTTACATCGTTATAGATTTCTTTATTGGCGGATTTTGTATGATTTATAATTTATAAGCAAATTGCCTACCAGGGCTGTTGTTGTAGGTAAGAAACCTTAACCTCGTTTTAACATTGCATATTGTAAACTATCGTGTCTTTATCTAGGTTTAAAAAAATAATTTGCAAGTTTTCTTTAGTACCAATTTGATTTTGCACTCTTTTTTTTATGTATGTAATAAAATAGTAGGATAGACTTAATTATTTGTTATTACTACAACAAATAATTTACAATTGATCAGGTGGAATTAAATGTTATGTGCAAAGCTACAATTTGATAATAGTTAGATTTTTATTATATCAGGAAGCTTAGCAAATTTAATCCAAACCTTCTAATTACCTTCTAATTATCGAAATTAAAGATCTTTGAACCTTAACTTTATTGTTACAGCGTACCCTTGAACAATATTGTCCTTTTATTTTGTTCATACGAGAAAAAGCTCTGCCCGTCGAAATTTCATCTAAGCTGAAATGATTCTGGCACGATGTGCCTGCCGACAAAAAAGTTGTGAGGAAACTACAAAATTCATTTTAGTTCTTCTGAAACAGTTTGTCAGAAAGAAGAAACTTTTCCTTTATTTATTTTTTATATTGTACGATAAAAGAAAAACTTCGTAATTTTGTAAAGAAATAATTCAAGAAGATATCGTTAAAAGATCGTTTTGCCAATTGTGGGATTAAGCTTTTAAATTCATTTTATTCATTAGTAAACATTTAATTCAAGCCCTTCAAGCATACATAATACGTTTTTGAAACTGTTTTATTACTTAAAGAGCCAAAATAGAATAACAAACAAACAAAATAAACCCACTGAAACAATCTTGCGTGACAGTGGACTTGTTCGTTATTTAACCGGGGCAAATAAGTTTACAATTATCAATTGAAGTGTAGTAAAAGGGAGTCGGTTTAGAAACATGCTAATCGTAATTGACAAACAGCACGGAAGCATGAGATGTTAGGCATGTTCAATCAGTCCGAGGGGGTCCTCGCAACGTTTCTATTGATTTCGCATTTGACAAAGATAGGCGTGCTCAGAAAATGGGCAACATTGATTCCTAAATATAGGCGGGAATAGGAAAAAAAATATTTATATCGTGTAATAGGCGAGACGAAATTTAAGGCAGCTAGGTGAATTTTTTGTTCTCAAAATTTATATATTTTTGTAATTTGATGGAAACGTTAAACAATAGATTTGTTCAATTTCCACCATGCCAAAGGCAAATTCGACAAATAAAACTGATCTGATTATAATTTTTTCATCTAGCTGTAGTTTAAAAACTAAAAAATCAGATAATGAAATTGTTTTCTCTTCGTTTTTATCGTTAGTTTATCTCTGTATATATAAAAATTAAATTAGATATATTTTATTTAATTGAGACTACTGTAATTTTATGGAATAACACAATTTTTAATGCATGATTTTCCAAAAGCTCTCGCTAAAATATTTATATATTAAAAATAAAAATGAATCGGCTTTTGACAGTTTAATTTTACAGTTTTAAATAGTTAAGTGCATAAAAATTTTATTTGATAATTAGTAATTAAATAAAACTAAATCTCTAAGTTCTGTGCTAAGTACATGCCCGTTAGCTTTTTGATCTAAGCGGATTTATTTACATTGAGTTTTTCTTGGAACTGTCCGATTGAAAAAAAAAAAAATTTCTTCTGTAATCGATTGTGAAAAACATAGGTACTTAAAAAGGTCGTACTTTATTTAATAAAAAATTATTAGTACTACTATGTCATTTTTCAGGGTCAACATAGTCAATATGATTGTTCGGAAATCGTGAGATGCGGTCAGGTGTGATGTAGGTTTCAGAAAAACATTTTCTTTATTGTGCCAACGTTTCGATTTTTATTGAGATCATCTTCAGGGCCTGGGATTTACAAACATTGTTTAAATTAGCCAATATGTTGGTTCTCTGTGTAACTTCATATATTCTATTGTATAATTAATAATCGATCTATCCTTAGATACTTGTTTAAACTAAAGTATGTAAATGAGATGATTGAAAATTTCACAATAAGCAAAATGCAGTGGCGACAGGCGGTCTAGGCCGGGTGAAAGTCACGTCAACCTGACCGACAACGACCACAAAACATATTATCTAAATCAACAGTTGCAACGGGGTCCCGACGAGGAAGAGGGGTGAAAATAAGGGTCGCAGGGGCAGAAGGGTTTTTCGGTGAGTCGGAGTAGGTATGTTGATGATGTGATGATGATGACCTGGTGGGCGGCAGTTCCATTGAGTAGGACCAGACGAGTTTCCATTCAGCAGACAGGAGGCCGGGCATGCGCCCACTTCTGATCAATATTTCCCCAGCCTCACCCATTCACACGAGCCCTCTTAATTTTCTAATCTAATTGGACCCGGAACAATATCATCATCATAAATCTCTGAAAGTACTGGCCAAAGATAGAAAGTACACCCCCACTCTCATCAACCGCAGAATAAGAAAACAAGCCACCCTGCCACCTCGCGTCATCTAAATCTTAACAGCATATTATTATTTCGAAGAGCGTTTCATCATCTGAGATCATGTACAAAAAAAAACTACTACAACAATTTTTTTTAAAAGCGAGAATTTTGTATTATAGTAGCTGGGTGGTCAAGCATGTTAACACAACTTACTTCAATTATATCGCATAATTGCAATAATTTCAATTCTAAACGTAATGTATATATAAAAAAATAAGCCAAGCGAATTTAATAATCAACAAAAGTCTAAACGTTCTTATTTTATAGTCACTCTTTAGATTATTTGAAGGATTGATGACATCAATATTTTTTAATTACACTTTTTTAATCATTATTTTTTATTTATTTATTTTTTGTTACAAGGAGAATTTTGAAATATTCAATGTACTAGCGATATTGTAAAAAGTAGAAATGTGTGAAATGCTAAACATCAACCTCAAGCTATTTGAAGGTTGTAGGGGGGTCAATCAATGGCGTTCGCTTCAATGTCAACTAAAGAGTCAGGTGGCTGGTTCTGTTTTATTTTTTAAAATTGTTTATCATTTAAAAAATACATATTTTAAACAACGCATCAAACTGTCTTAAGAATCGAACGTTTGACAACACTATTTATGTGGCATGTAGACAAAAGTTGCTCGATATGTCTCACTTAATTGATGGTTATACCTTGGCTCCATATATATGCATCCATATAGCAAGTCGGAATGGCACCCGATATGCGAATAGAGCTTGAGCACGGCAGCCAGAATTTGGATCTCCTGTTATGATTTTTGGAAGAAAGAGTGCTGTTTTATTGTACATAGATACTTTTAGTTATTTCGTTTTGTGTTTCATTTTATCTATATTGAGACTGAATGTATTCATTTGCGTGAATGTATATGCGTGTGCGGTGTATAATGTGAGAGGGCCGATGACAGAATATTGAGTCGAACCTCAGATTAGTTATGTACCATATGTAGAAGGTGATGGAGGAATATCAAATACACCACCAGTCTAATTGAATGATTGGCATGTAAGTAGGAAATAATGTATTTAAGAGTGAGTTAGAGTATAAGTGGGTTTGGATCTAGAAACTGATGCGTTGGGGGCTGAAATTACCTAGATGGTAGAATAGACCTAGATGGGGGCCGAACCTCGGCAGAAGGACGGATAAGGCCGATTTCTGACCCGGACTGACAAAACCAGAGGTGGGTGATTCTGCGGGCCACCGGTAATTTATTGGAATTACATTAATGCGGGAATTGCAGGCGAGCTGCTGTTTGTATGAGTTTAGCTTATAAAACTTAATAGTCAGTGATATATTTATGTAGTTGCATCGTCTCCGGTAGTCCAGGCTGTATATTCTCGCTTATCAGCAGAAGCGTTTTGACATCTCCAGCTATGGATTTGATTGTTATTTTTATGAATCTTGTCCTTCCTTTAAGTGTTGTTAAGTTTTCAAAACCTGCGGGACTGTGACCAGGATGATCTGAGAACAAACTACATATGGCAGACTTTAATATCTCAGCTCAGTTCATGTTCACATCGTATAGATGCAAAGGTCTGTAAACAGAAATTTTTGATCTTTACAGCGTACGGTGAAAGTAAAGGTAATGGAGCTGGGACCGAACTGACACCCCAGTTCGGCGCGTATCACCATTCACCATTGACGCACGCCAGGGGTGCGGCAAGACAAATGTACGGAAGTGGAGCACTCCGATCACCCAATGTGCCGCCTATCCATCAGGGAGCTCACCCTTCACACTGGCCGAGTGAGCATCCGTACTCTTCCAGTTACTGGCCAAGAAATAAATCTATGACTATCCGTTACAGGTCAACCGCCCGTAATAATAAACCCGGTCCATTACGTGCCGAAATGGATCTCATCAGCCTACATACCGAGGCCTTCGGACGTTTCACCTCTTTCAAGAAGCGGTGCCATTCACAAGACCTCGGGCGGAGTGTACGACCCCATGGAAGACGCGGATATCGTTATGAACCATCCCAGGCCTCCAGAATTGGCTCCCAATATAGACAGTAAGTTTATTTCCACTTTCCACCTTAAAACAAGTATCTTTTATATTTTTTTATGTTATTGGTTCCGAAGCGTTGTTCTTCTCCAGGCTCGCATGTTAAGACTAAATGGTTAAAATAAGGCGTCCTCGTTACCCTAAACACCGCGACAAATATTGGTATATTGATTAAAGAATCGTGTATACACAAAAGTATTTAAATAAATACTGTTTTCAGTTTATTTTCTTCTATATAACGTTTATTGCTTAATTAACAAACCTACTGTTTGCAAAAATTAACAATTTATTGAAAATTTAATATTACAATCCAGGATGCCGGTTCACGTTCAACAACTAAACGTTTTATTTATTAATCCCTATATGTTTAGCGGTCATAATTGACCTATTTAATTATTTCAATTAATTATACTGCAGTATAATTAAATTTTTATTTATTATTTATCTCGTTAAGCAATTTAAAAAAGTTCATTTCTATTTGTATTTTTTGAAATTTGAAAATTGCTTTCAAAAAAGACAGGATGCAGATGGTAGATTGAAATATTTTTAGCCAACTTCAAGACAACCTACAAACAATGAAGAATTAACGATACTCATTAATTTAAGAACTCAAGAGGCAACATGCCATTAAAAATACGAAAAAAACTAATTTTTTTCATACTTTCAGTCGATCCTGAAGAAAGTGTGGAAGGGTGTGGAGGCTCATGTAGAGGCGGGGAATTTCTCTGTTCCATCTCCTGCACTTGCATCCCATCCTCTTGGCGTTGCGATGGTGAATTTGATTGTGTCAGAGGCGAAGACGAAGCTACGTGTAGCACCATAAAGCAGCAAGTCTGCAGCAAAGACACGCATGTCAGGTTCCGTGTCACTTCTGAACTTGTTTTTTTTTTTTTTTATCCGCACGTTTGTGGATTCAAGAGTGACAATTTATTTTATTACAGGTGTCCAAGGACTTGGAAATGTATCAATAAAGATTGGCTCTGTGATGGGGACGATGACTGTGGAGATTTTTCAGATGAAACACACTGCGGTATGTATTCTTATTATGGACTGACCAGAATTTCGAAATGAAAGAGACATCTGCCTGAAATATTTACATTATTTTGGGTAGTACCTCTACAAAAATTTAATGTTCACAAAAATATTTAACTATTTCATAAATATTAGAAATGAATAAATATTCTCATTAGAAATATGAGAACTGAATTAATTATTATTGGCTTTTTCTCGTTCAAAATAATCATAAATGGTACATTATATAATTTAACACCATATTTATTTTATGAAGATAAAAATGACAACCTATTGGAATTGGAAAGGAAATACTGACCAAGGAAATTTAGTTTAATTATGTATATAATTTACCTTTTAACCCAATCAACTTTTCATCCAGTACTGTATAGAATGAAGTGTTAAAATCTCTGTTTGATTAAATCTGCTCTTAAAGTGATATAAATTTGACCAAGGTTTTATTACTTGTTATAATAATTATCAGTTTAATATTAGAATGGTTTTGAAAACTTGTTACTTTGTACTAATTTTTCCAACGTTACAACTTTTTTTCCCAGAAGGTGTATTAATGAACTGTACTAACGAAGAATTTGAGTGCGCAAATGGCCTATGTATCCCACTTAGCTGGTTATGTGATGGGGATAATGACTGCAGAGATTATTCTGATGAAATGAACTGCACTCAGAAAATGTATTTCAAAATTGTTTCCTTTGCTAGATATATTAACACAAAACTGTTACATTAAATGTTATGATTTCAGGGATTGTATAAGTGAGCATGAATTCAGATGTAGCGATGGAGATTGTATTTCTCTGTCATGGCGTTGTGATTCAGAGCCGGACTGTTCAGATCAGTCAGATGAGGTCATGTGCCGTAAGTACTTTCACAATCTTGAAATAATGGGCAGATATTTTTCTCTTTTTTACGTGAGGTCTTTGTAGACAATGAAAATAACATTTTTTTTAACAGCCGAGGTTATTGTTCCTGAATGTGGGCCTTCTGAATTTCCTTGTGCTTATCCAAGATGTGTAAGGCAAGAGTTTCGTTGCGACGGGGACGACGACTGTGGAGACTGGAGCGATGAAGACGACTGTCCGGAAGTCGTCGGTGGCCCGTGCACAGAACAGGAATTCCGTTGTGAAAGTGGGAAGTGCATATCTAACAAATGGAAATGCGATGGGGAAAAAGACTGCGAAGGAGGGGAAGATGAGACAGGCTGTGAAAAAGCTTCTCCAAGACCTTGTGGTTCAGACGAATTTGCATGCCACACAGGAACTTGTATAATTGTAAATGATTTGTCAATAACTTACTATTTGTTTTATTTAGTCAATTTGCTTAACAAAAAAAATATATATTTTTTTTAAAGGAAATGTGGGTGTGCGATGGTGTACAAGATTGTCCTCAGGCTGAAGATGAAGAAAATTGCAAAGAGTTGTGTGATCCGATGACTCAGTACACTTGCCCCTTTGTTAATATTTCCTCACCACACCCTGGAACACATTGCATTAGGAAGAAACAAGTTTGTGATGGCATAAAGGACTGCTTAGGAGGAGAAGGCAAGAAACAAATACTGTCATTTCTCTTTCCACCAAAAATTGTAATAATACTATTATTTTAGATGAAAAACAATGTCCAAAGCGAAAAGACTGTACCAAGTCCAGTATACCATGTCAACAATTGTGTATAGAAACGTACGAAGGAAAAGACGCATGTACATGTAAACCAGGCTACATATTGTCCGAAGATGACATAAAGTAAGCTAAAGATTTATTCCATTTATCAATAATTTAATTTTTTCCGTTTGTAAATAGTTGTGAAGATGTTGATGAATGCAGTTTTAAGACTGATCCAGTCTGTAGCCAAACGTGCAATAATACGATCGGCTCGTATAAATGTGGTTGCCACAGGGGTTATGAATTGAGACCTGATGGCACTACCTGTAAAGCTAGAGGTTCTCCGCCTTCACTAGTTTTTGCAAACCGAATTGATATCAGACAGGTAAAGTTTTGGTTGTTGATTTTATGTAAAAAAAATCAGTATTTACTGTCATAGGCTTTCGGTTTAATTTGAACATTTGTTGACTTGTAAGTTGAATTTAAAAATTTTTTATTCAGGTAAGTCTGAACAGTTTTAAATATACAGCGATATTAAAAGGCCTCCATAATGCGATTGCTCTGGATTATCATTATAAAAAAGGACTCATTTTTTGGACGGACATTTCAATGGATATAATCAGCCGATCGAGGATAAATGGAACTAACATCACTGGTAAAGAAAGACTTTTGTACATCAAAAAGGCCAGATAATTGAATGTTTAATTCTTGTAGAAATTGCTAAATCCGGTTTGGATTCACCAGGCGGGATAGCTGTCGACTGGATTCACGACTTGTTATTTTGGACGGATTCTGGCACAAGGAGAGTTGAAGTGTCCAATCTTGACGGACAGATACGACATGTTTTGATATCCGATGATATTCAGAAACCAAGAGCGATAGCAGTCCATCCAGGAGAAGCGCTTGTATTCTGGACTGATTGGGGTAAGAGCTGAATTGAGTGGTTTTTCTACAAATTTTAACACTTCATTACTTCAGGGCCGAAGCCTAAAATAGAAAGATGTGAAATGGACGGTTCAAACAGAATAGCTCTTATTACGGAATCTATACAATGGCCTAATGGGATGACAATTGATTATACAATAAATAGAATTTATTGGTCCGATGCTAAGCATCATGTTATTGAAAGTTGTAAATTTGATGGAACTGAAAGAAGAAAAGTAAGAAAATATAAACGTTTTACAATAAATCCTAAGGTGTAAATATGCAAGAATAACATACAAATATTATTTATCAAAGGTTGTTACAAAAGGCCTTCCTCATCCATTTGCTGTCACACTTTTTGAAGATGCTATATACTGGACTGACTGGCGCACAAAAAGCGTTTCTACTGCCAGCAAGGCAACTGGTACTGGGTTTAGAACTATTCATAGTGGTTTATTATTTCCCATGGATATCCACAGGTATAATAACTTTAAAACTCAACTAGATTTCAATTTTTAATTGTTTTTTGGTTTGTTTTTTCAGCTACCATCCACAAAGACAGCCATTTTATACAAATCACTGTGGAAATGACAGTGGGGGTTGCTCACATCTTTGCCTACCAAACGCATTGAGCTTTCAGTGCATTTGTCCTCTTGGATTGAAACTTACAAAAAATAAGTAAGTTGCTTTTAAAACATTAATTTGCCAACATTTTTTAAACAAATTAGTTATTGTCTCTTCAAAAAATTGAATTTTTCCTCATTTGGCCATTTTTTAAAATGTTGTGTAATTAGGATTTGTTTCTCAGCAACTTATGAAGCAGCCATGGAGAGTTGTTAGCAAAGTCATTATTTCTTTTAATTATTGTATTAATCCATATATATTTAGTGGTACTAATTGGTCATATTAATTATTTCAATTAATTATTCTTTTTATCTAAGGTCTTGGTTGAAATGAAAATTCCTGATTACACAACATTGGAATAAAAAAATGGGAAAAAGAGGGAATATATACGGTTGTAGATTGAGATGAGGAGTTGGTGTCCGACTGGATCGAAGTCATGATAGCTCAAGTGGTTAGAGCAGCATTGAGCCTAAGGTCATGGGTTCGAATCCCATTCGTGACACTAACTTTTTCATTATAACCAAGACCTTAGATGAAAAGAATAATTTTGAATATTCAAAAATTATTTACAATAGCTCAGAGTAAAACAAATTTAACAGATTGCAAGAATTAGCACTTAATAAAGTATGGCCTTTAAAAATTTTGTAAAGCACAGTAGTGATTATAATAAAAAGTTGATTTGATACTTTGAAATGATATCCCTACTTTGAGAAAATGTATTTATTAGCATTACTGGAATATGTTTAGTGTGTTTGTGATGGAATATTGAATATCCACAGGCTCACCAAGTAGTAGCAGATATAGTTTTATATATATTTTCTGTGTGCCAGCAGGTAGTCACTGGTGTAATATCAAAAACTCCGCTTGGTTGTGTGATTGAATTTATTTGCGTGAGTGGTCAAGTGTGTATGGACTATGTACATGGAATATCAATTACCGACAGACATGTTAAAACAATTAGGTTAGCTAATATAGGGAACACGAGTAACTGGGTGTGAATGTACTTGTGGGCGTGAATGAAGGGTGAAAATGACGTAAAGATGAAACACCATGCCAGCCACCCAACTGTTGGTTTAGGGTGAACATAATTTTAGTATAGTTGTAGGGCCTGGGGTCTCAGCAGTATTTCAAGAGCTCTTCAGTCCTACCAAACTTAGATTACGTTATCTTAATAGTATGGATATTGGATTAGGGTGGTTGTTAGGGGTGGTTAGTATTGGCTTTTAGTTTTAATCATGTGCAGAAGGGTTAAACATCAATGATAGAGGCAACAATATCCTCAGTAGCTAGTTGGCTAAAAAAAAAAACTAAATTAGAAAATTTAGATGTTTTTAACAAAATCATTAGGTTTGGAGAAAAATAATCACTCATCTAATAAGATTATTTTATTTAATTTTTTTCAGTAAGACGTGTGATAAAACAACAGACCATATGCTGCTGTTTGCAAGAATGAAGGATATTCGGCTCAGGTCATTAGTAGAAGGCACTCCAAATTACGACGTGGTAATTCCAGTTGAAGGAATAAAATCAGCAAGAGCACTCACATGGGATATAAGATCCAACTCAATATTCTGGACTGATATTGAAACCAAAACGATTTCATCATCGAAAATCAATGGGACTGAACAAAGAAGTATTATAAACAAAAATTTAGGTAATTTTAATTAATTTAAAATCATTGGACCTGATAATATATGAGATTATATGACAGAAACACCAGCCGGATTGGCAATTGATTGGGTGACAAATAAGCTCTATTGGATTGATGCTGGTACTCTGAGGGTAGAGGTATCTAATCTTGATGGAACAATGAGATCACTGTTGATATGGGACGGCATAGAAAATCCAAGGGATATCGTCTTAGACCCTCTAAGTATGCCAGGGTATAAACTAACAGCCTAATATAACTGAAACAATGATAAATCGATTGTAGATGCATTCATGTACTGGTCAGACTGGGGGAGCCCTGGGAGAATTGAAAAAGCAGGCATGCACGGAGGAAATAGGGAAATATTTTTATCCTTGGGAAATGGCTCAAGACCCAATGGTCTAAGCGTTGATTTCCAAACATCTAGGCTTTATTGGGCAGACTCAGGCACACAAACAATTGAGTATGCGGACCTAAATGGAAAGAAGGCCTATAAAAGAGTCCTATGTAAGACATGTTACCCTATCTAAAACAGTTATTACGATGGGTTGTTCCATTTCAGTATCTGATGTTCCACATCCAATTGGGTTGACTGTATTTCAAGACAATATTTATTGGACTGATTTGACGACAAACAGCATTCATAAAGCTAACAAAATCACTGGGGAAAATAGCCAAATTATAAGGTATGGATGTACTAATAATTAAATTGAAAGAGTGAATAACTTGAACATATTTACAGAAATGGTCTTTCTGGGCTTAAGGATATAATTGTTATGGAGCATGATATGATTCAAATAGTTCCAAAATGTGAGCATAACAATGGTGGATGTTCACATCTTTGCCTCATTGCACCTAATAAAGAAGGCTATGTATGTGCCTGTCCTGTTGGAATCAAACTCAAGGTAGAAAATGGTGAAATGCATCTGACACAAAACCAGTTGAGAATAGGCAGAGTGTAGCACATAACTTTTGTGTTTTAGGAAGATAATAAGACCTGTCATAAAGCTCCTGATAAATGGCTGATAGTAGCACACAGAACAGAAATATTGCAGATAGCACTTGATGAACCATATTCAGTGGATGTAGTTTTACCATTGCCACAGTTGACAGCTGCAGTAGCTGTGGATGTTGATAAAGAAAACGGAGAAATTTACTGGTCCGACACTGCGGAAGATGTCATTCAAAAAGCAAATTTTGATTTTGGAGTTGCCACTATTGTCTCTGATGGGCTTGTAATGGCAGATGGAATTGTTATCGACAGTGTTGGAAGAAAGGTAAATTTATTTTTAAAAAATTTGTGTGCGTTAAAGGAAAATTAACATATAACTTTATTTATTTTTTTTTTCAGCTTTATTGGACTGATGCTGGAAACAACAATATTCAAGTTTGTGCACTGAGTGATTGTGAGATGCTGCGTAAAGTATTGATCTGGAACCATCTAGAAAATCCTCGTGCAATTACATTGAACTATGACATGGGCTTATTATTTTGGACTGACTGGGGAAATCAACCCAAAATTGAACAAAGCAATATGGATGGTAATAACAGGTACAACAAAGTCAAAATTTGTATTTACTGAAATTATGATGTTAAATAAATATTTTTTTTAAAGGGTGACTTTGATTTCTGAAAAGTTAGTGTGGCCAAACGGTCTTGCTGTTGATAAGGGGCGAATGTACTGGACCGACGCTAAGCTCGGTGTAATTGAAAGCGCTTTGTTGGCTGATACAACAAATAGGACTGTGATTTTAAACCAACTATTACATCCTTACGCACTTGTTATTTTGGATGAATTCATGTATTGGACGGATTGGCATACCAACGCGATTCACAGAGCCTACAAAAATGGAACTGATCAACAATACGTTGTGAGACACATCAAAGGGCCAATGGATATCAAAATTGTCGAAACAAATGTAATTTATTTTTATTTGAAATTCTAAAGTTCAGTGAGTTATAGTAAATTTGATTTTAGTCAAAAGATAAACTGACTGATGTTTGCCAACCGAATAATGGAGGATGCAGTCACTTATGTCTGCGAACACCTAAGAATTACAGCTGTGCCTGCCCTACTGGTATCACCCTAATGGTAAAAAATATTAAACATCTTTTAATTTTTTGGTATTTATTTAATTTTTATTTTATAGGATGATAAAAAGACATGTAAGCCTCAACCAAATGGTTACTTGTTAATAGCTTCAGATACAACTCTATCTAGAATATCAATGGATACAAAAGAAATGTGGTTGTTTTCTCTTCCAACGCCAAATATTGAAAAGGCCATGGCAGTTGATTTCCATTGGAACTTGAGTACAATATTTTATGTTGATTTCCAGCTCAATTCTATCAAGTATGTTTTTCTTGTGTGAATAAAGTATGAGTCAATATTAACAATTTAATTGATTATTTAGAGGGGTCAACATGACTGCTTTGACGCAGACATGGGATATAATAAACAATTTGAGCAGCCCGTCGAGTTTGGCGATAGATTGGATAGCAAATAATTTATACTGGGTAGAAACAGGAATAAGTAAAATTGTCGTTTCGAGGATAGATGGGTCGTTTAAAAAAATTATAATAACAAGAGTGGATGATCCAAGATGCATTGCTTTGTACCCACAAAAAGGGTTAGAGTTCAAATTTTAAATTTTTGTTGTTAAATATTTTAATTTAATATTAAATTCAAGGTACATTTTTTGGACCACTATCGGTTTGAACCCACGGATAGAAAGATCAAATCTTGATGGGTCATACAGAAAAATAATCCATGGCACTGAACTCGGCATTCCCAATGGGTTAGCCATCGATTACCAGCTGAATAAAATTTTCTGGTCAGACTCACTCAACAACAAAATCGAAGTATCCGATCTTAATGGAAGAAATAGAATGCTACTTATACCTAAAACATCACATCCAATTGGGTTAACTCTTGTAAGTTCATTTTACAATTTTTATGATTTATAGGTTTTAATTAATATACAATTTTTTTAAATATTATTAACAAGTATGTTTTGTCATTGCTGTAAAATTCAATAGCAATGGGGAGTTAGTTTCTTACATTATTTTTCCTTTAAATTATTTTGTTTTTATTATATTTGTTATATAATAACTGTTTCATTATGCCTTCCTTATGATTTTAAACAGATTGTTGAACCTTTTTTTGATTTATTAACAGTAATATTTGTTAACTTTATAAATTATTAATATTTTTTGTAGATTATTAATAGTTGTGAATTATTATTTTCCAAATTCTAATGAATTGGAAGACCTTCCAAACTTGACAAAGGAGCTGAGTGTTTATCTTTTCTTTCAAATTGGCCTTCCCCTGATCCTATAAAATAATCTCACCACCCTAAAAGTTAAAATTGTAATAGAATTGATCTAAAATTTGCTTTTCAGTATGGTGAACATATTATTTGGGCGGATTTCCATAAGAAAAAAGTTCAAATGGCAGACGCAATGACTGGAAGAGATCAGACTGCATTGAGGGGAACCATTTCAGATGTGACAGGCATTTGTGCCGTTACGCCAGAAAGACAGCAAGGCCATAACCCTTGTGCTGTTGAAAATGGTTACTGTACCCACCTATGCCTCTTTAGAGGGAAACGAGGATATATCTGTGAGTGCCCTGACATTACGGATTCAAAATGTTCCACAGGTACGATTATTGTGTTTGTTTTTTCAATAGCAAGTTGATTGAATAAATAAACGTATGATTTATTTATTTTTTTTTATTTTATAGAACCAGCTCAATTGGTGCCAATAACAAATGAAGAAGAATTGGATGATATCGACGAAGAAGGGTTGCCCGAAGATTCAAATTTCATGGGAAATAGTTTCAGTCAAATTGTCCTTTCTCTTTGCATGGTGCTCGGAACATGCATTATCATTATTATATTTTCATTTTCACATATATATTTAAGGTGAAAAGTCTAATTAAAACGATTAACGGGCTTCTTATTAACAGATTCGAATATATGTTTCAGGCGAAATCGAAGGGCAGAAAGAAAATACATTTACAACGTAGGAAGGAGTGTGCTAACCTTTTCAAATCCGAATTATAATGCTTCGGCTACAGACATAAGGAATCCGACAGCAGACAAAAAGCCTCCTTTTTTATGGAGAAAACTGAGATTTGAAAAATCACAGGTAAGAGTTATCATAAGTTTAAATCAAAATATTTTCTTTCTATCAATTCAATTTTAGTCCAGTACTATTATCTCAAATAACAATTTATTACAAAACTGATATTTTGTTAAATTAACAAGTATTAAAAGTCAAAAAAGTTTTTATTAAACTTCCTTTGAATCACTCATCTCATATGGGTGAGTATTTTATGTTTATTTTTTCTATTTCATTGTCCGTAGTTAACATTTTCACAGTTAATAATTGAATAATAATAATCTTTCAATGTGACAGTTTTGTTTATAAAATTTGTTATATTTGGTGTTATAGGAAAGAGTTTTTACTGTCCATGGTGACAGTGACAAAGCAGGGTGTGCAGAAGTTGTTTCATTAATCCCAGTGCCACATTCACCTTGTCCTTCCCCAACCCCGACTAGTTCTATAACACTTGAGGCGTCCACATCAAATTGTTAAATTTTAGAAATGGAATGCAAAAATTTGTAATTGTTATATTTTATAACTCTCAAATTTCATTAAGAATGCAAAAATTAAAGCGGAATGTGAAAAATAATTTTTTTTATTTACAATAAATGACAAACTAGGTAAGGTAATTTGTCATGTGGATATGCCATTGTTGTATTTTTAAAGATAAAATAGTAAATAAGTTGCACATTGATAAGAATGATTTAAAATCAATATCCTTAATTGATAGATAATGGCCTCTTATTGTTTAAAATAGCAACATGGCAAAAAAGTGAAATTCTCATGGTCATAGAATCTTTAACTGAATACATTACATTATGATCAGATAAAGATGAAATTTCATTTTTAAAAGTTGTGTAATTATTTTGAATGTAGTTTAACTAATTACAGTGCATTCTCCAGAAAAAGATATACCACTTTACATTATCAGCTTTTATAACTAATGCCAGGTTACTATTTTAATTTTGTTAAATGTAAATTGAACAAAAGGATATACGTTTTTGTGAAATGCGTAAATTAGTATAAAATCTCAAATTGCTCTAAAAAAATTATAATAATAATAAAATTAAAAAATCAACTCAGTTTTCATGTTTTATAAATATTTTTTTTTGTTTTACATTTTCTATAAATTTATTGTTGGTATATAAATTTTTGATGCATATAATGCACAAAATAATAGTGGCTGTGTGAGTATAATAGAAAATAAAATTTATAAAAATGAACTTTTAACAATACAATATTTAGAAGGGTAAAGAGAAAAAGTAATCTAGGTTATTACAGTTTGATCATAGATTTCAGAAATGCCGTATAAATATTCCATTGAAGTCATTTGCAAAATGCCACCAATATAAAAATAATTTCTATTGACGATACCGGAATAAACTATTATATATTGATAAAATAAAGTTTATTTAAAAATTTGTCTTTTAGTTTATATTTTAAAGAATTTATTCTATTTTGTTTAGATTATATGGGAAAACTACAATCCATACTATTTTACAAATTTTCATAAAGAAAATAATTTTGTATGTAAGCTTATGCGTATTTTTATATAAAAACTTTAATAAACAGTAATAATGAGATCAACCATTAAGATAATTTTAGAAATTCTTATGTCTTTTAAATATATTCATCTTTGCTAGAAATCAAATTCATGGATTAAAATTTTAAAAATGTTAGTTTTTAAATAAAACAACAGAAAATGAAATATATATTTTATATAAACATGAATTGTTCTACTATTAGTTTTCTACTTTGTGCAGTGCTTTCTTTACTCCAATTGTAGAAACACCTTAGTACCATTTTCTTCTATATTTTCTAACTTGCGTTCAGTAAAAATATTTGTCAATAGCAAAACATTTTAATCTTACAGGAATTAGCAATACACGTTTATTATCAAACTGAATAGACAAATAACGTAATTTTTATTTGTCAATTGTGAGTGTGAAATGAAGTTTTCGATTCGTCTCAAAACAAAAATGAAGGATTATAAAAATATTTTAAAGACGGTTCTAGGAAAAGAACAGTTTAAAACATTAGAAAAGTTATGTGCACAAATGCCATTGTGATATATTTTAAACCATTTTGAAATAATTAAAAACTCATTTTTTGTATCAGCATTTTGAACACTCAACACATTTTGATCCTTATTCAATTACAAGATAAACAGGGATGATATTTCACCATTTCTAATGATTCCCTCAAGATTTACACATATTTGCCAGATAATATGAATTGAAAAATATATTTTTAAAGATTATGAGCTGAGAGATTATTACCAGAAATAGAAGCTGTTGGGTCAATAACAAATTTAAAAATGGGTGGAAAGAACTTTTAAATTATTTGTACAATTTAAATCCTTTAGTTAGATTTAACCAAATGGATTTCTTACATTTCTAATCTACATATCATAATAAAAAATAACAAAAATGAAATGTTATAATGTTCAAACCATATTTAATACTACAAAAAATAAATAATGATAGGGTTGTGAGCATTTCTTATTTGTGATTTTGCTAGCTCAATGTAATATGTGCCAAGTGATGTGGAATGCTCAAAATATTTATTTTAAAAAGTGTTAAAGATTGATCTTTATTTGAAAATTATGAATATGTGTTCTTTTTAAAATATTATTTATTGATTTATTGTTAATCGACTTATTATATTTCACACATTCCCACAAAAGATATTAAAAAACATAAATTATAATTATATGTATTAAAAAAATGTAAATTTGTAGATTATGATTAGATATAAAAGTATGAATCAAAGTTGAATTTCACATGTTAATAAGAAAATGTTTTAAATAAACAATGGCATTCAAGACAAAAAAAAACATGTTTGTTTAATTTTGATTTCATTTAGATATAATCCATCCAGAATGTACAAAATAAGAGTGCATACAAAGTTCATGGTTGTAACAATCAAAATTCAAAAGTATACCATTATGAATGTTATGTAAACAGGAAATATCCACTTTTTATATAATCATAATTGTATAGTTCAAAAGTATACCAAATCTTATAATTATACACATAATAGGCTGTTCTTGTATTAGACTGAAAAAAAAAAGTATGGCAGCCATTACTGTTAACAAAATTTCTTTTTGTTCGATATTTTTTATAGTAATGTGTGTACAACTAAAATGGTTAAAAGTAAATTATGTAAACCACAGATATTCGAATTAACAACAAAACGATATGAGTTAATGCAATTAAATGTTCCAAATAAAGATTTGCCAAAGAAACTTACTATGAAACAAAAATGTAATTTTAATATACGTAAGTAATAATATAGTTATTTGTATTGTATTAATTAGTAATCTAATATAAATATTTGCACTCTTCAATGTGAGTCAGGGTTGTGAGGTAACAAGGCAAGATTTGACTAAATAGGTTTCAGGGAATGGCACATTCATTTAAACCTTAAATGTCAAAATGTTATGTCAATTAAATGTTTGTAATGGTAAACATTATTTTTTACCATACCTCACATTGCATTAGGTTAATTTCTTACTTCTTACTTTTATTTTTGAATTTTATATTTTATTGTTTTTGGTTTATAATGGTTCTAAGAATAACTGAATATGAACAGAGGGCTGCAATGTTTATTAACAAATTTGGAATAAACAAATCGACTTGTTGCAAGTCTAAACATTTTATAATTAATTAATGGACAAAACATGGGAAACGTACGACTTTGTCTTTTTGTTTTTTAAAGGTCTGAGCAATATGAAATTTTAGAATTATATATTTTTTTTAATCATTGAGGAATTAACAAAATAAATACCTCACAATTGCACTCACGCAAGGAGTACCAAATTCTTCCATGTGTTTAGCTAAATGGTAAAATAAAAATATTTAAAAAAAATTAAAAAATTAAATTAAAAATTAAAAAAAAAATAGTAACAGATTTTTACAAAAGTATAGAAACTACTACTAGAAGTTGTTGAAAGTCATGCTCATTCTAATTAAAAACTGCAGGAATGAGATGCACGTCACAGCCTCTATTTTCATTCCTAATTAGAATGTTAGATGTATTAATATGTTAACTACTGACTGTTATATTATGTTGATTCTATAAGATTTATGATGGTTAATATCAATTAATATCTCTTTGTGTTTGCCGAAAGGAAAAGACGTTTCTATTAAAGAATTGATTCTATTATGAGGAATATGTTGTGAATAAACTATTTTTGAAGAAAGACTGTATAAAATAAATACTATATGTAAATGGTTAATTTTCATTTTGGATCCTTTCTACTGGTATATTCGATTTGTAATCATTTATGCAAGAAATTTAATTAAAAAATCCCAACACTATTGGTTTAAAAAAAGATTTTATGACTTTATTATAAATGGAGAAGCAACATATAAAACGTTAAGGTTTATTTTCTTGATGATAAATAAAAGTTATGTTAATTAAATAATAAAACAGGTAAAGGAAACCAAACGATGATGTTAATTTTTTTATTTGATTAGATTCAACATCAACAAAATGAGGCACCATAGAACCGCTTCCACATCCACCATGGGAATGGGTAAGGATAAGTGATAACAAAATCAAAATTCTCTGAATTTGAAGCATTGCCAAAAAATGCAGCTTGCTAGCTCTGTCTATCAGGCTTCTGCATTTATGCCATCTTCAGATGTATATTTTGTTACTCGTGCCCTCTTTATGTATATAACAATTGAATAGGGAAATATAATTTGCTGGCTAAAATCATAGATCTTCCCAGTGAAAGTGCATAACTAAGTTTGAATTTGCACAAATTAAATGAGTGTATAAAATAAAATAATGAATTATATTGTTATGAGCTAAGTTGTAAAGTTATAAAGCGTACTCACTGAAGTGATGTGAAATACTGATTAGGCCTAACACTACATATTTTTCTCATAACAATAATAGTAATCATTAAGGAAAATTAATCATTTCAGTCAATTAATGATGGCTAAATAAATCATTTTAAAATTAACCGGACATAAATGTACAAAACAATATATGAAAAATGATTTAAACAACAAATCCAAAATCTCTCTCTCTCTCTCTCTCTCTCTCTCTCTCTCTCTCTCTCTCTCTCTCTCTCTCTCTCACTCACTCACTCTCTCTCTTCTCTCACTCACTCTCTCTCTCTCACTCACTCTCTCTCTCTCTTCTCTCACTCACTCTCTCTCTCTCTCACTCACTAACTCTCTCTCTCTCTCTCTCTTTCTCTCTCTCATGCAAAACTTTTTTGATTGTTGTAATAAAAAGAATTTGTATGAGACACATTATTTTTAATTAATCTCAATAATGCTAAAACAATTATTTAGAAAATTGTTTTGAGAAAAGAGTTCCAATATTTATTCTACTTAATGACGTTGCCTTTAAAATGCGCTCTATTTTGTCACTCAGTGAAGTCCACAGTGTTTTTCTTGCCTTTCTCCTCTTTTTTTCAAGAAATATGACAAATTTCCCATCGTCATAACTTATTTGGACATCGTTCAAGTCTAATTTCCCATGTATCTCATTCAATAAGGCAACTTTCTGTGCCTGCATTCCTCTGCATTTGTGATTACAAGAGGACTTCTTGTAGTTTTGTTTAGAAAAGTAATTCACTGAGTCTTGACGTTTTTGAACTGGATTGATACATTTCAGCTTACTTGTTTCCCCCATTGACTCCAAAGTGTCACTACCGTATTCATCTATTTCAGCAGATTCTTTGTTATAAATATCTTTCAGCTGATGAGTTAAACATTCATTACTCGTTTCAGTACGGTTTTTATATGTCATTAATGGAATCTCACTGTTCTCAATATGAGATTTATTTAACCCACATGTACAAGCATTAGCCATATCAATATTTGAATTTTTGGAATAGTGTTTTCTTAAATAATGGGCAGTAGAAGATAACAATTTTTCAAACTCTTTCCTGTTGATGTCGTCTTTGTCATGAATATCTGTTGAATTTTTTCTGTATGTAAATGAAATAGTTTGATATATATTATCCAGTAAATCTGTTTCCAAGTTATATTTTGCATTCATCTGTTTATTATAGCCACTCTGTGTTAATGAGCTTGTATTACATGAAACATCATCGGTACATTCAACAGAAACATTTTGCCACTCTGTATCTTCTGATGATGTACTTTCGAACGTATTATTTGTCAGAGATTGTGAATTGTATTCAAAACAGGCCTCATGTGATTTAGCAAGCTGCATGGAGTTATAGTTCATAGGCATTACTGGTAAGACAAAAGGTAACTTAAAATCACAATCATCCAATAACAGTGTTTTACTGGATTTTGAAATAAGATCAGGTAATAAATGACTTTTAATTGATGACAGTTTTGAATTATGACCTTTTACAATGGAATTAATGCTTACACTGTAGGGTATTGCATCACGACTTTTTGGGATAATTTTGTTAAGCAGAGAATTTTCCGCGTTGAAACACCATTGGCCTTCACTTTTAACTTCATGAATTGATGAAACATCAGATCTGTAATTTTTGTCTAGATGAGGTGATTTTTTTATAATACATGGTTTCTCTTCTTTTGTGATTATTTTCGTATTGGGAGGGAGTTGCTGTGCCTCAATTGATTCAGTCTCGTAAATAGTTTCTAAACATATAATTTTTTGTTTGTTGATTTTTTCAGATAAATTATTTAGCATATTTTTATTGAAAATTTGATCTTCTTTTTTTTGATGTTTTAACCCTTCTTTCTTTTCTTGAAAAAGGATATTTTCTGGTAAACTTCTTCTCTTTTTCTCTAAATATTCATTTTTGCTATATTTTTTCTCTTTTTCTTCCTTGTGTTTGCATGAGTTATTAGATACACTGTTAATGAATGTTCCAAGTGGTTCTTGTGAATTTCTTCTCTCATTGGTATTCGCAAATTGTCTTTTTGTCTTTCCTGGATCACTGAAGTAACTGTTTGCCAATTTCATTTTATTTTTCTACTTTCTATGTCTACATTGATACTATTAATTTCATCCTAACTAGGATTATTCTATATGTATTTCTGTTGTTTTTAAGAACTGTTACTAAGGAAACAATTTAATGTATTGTTTGTATAATGTTGTTTATACATACCTTATACAATGTGGTGTGAAATAATTTGGTGAAGTCTTCAAGATGATGAAGCTTGATCATCTCTAATCATCCTAGTCTGCATAGTACTCATTTTGACAGTTTACCATCATTAGATGTTAGAAATGATGAAGGTGGGAAGAGTAGGTAGATTCACTTTTTGTAAAGATAGCTGAGTGGTTAGCACAATAGACTCTCGACTAATAGACACCACAGGGGGCTGAAATGACCTAGATGTCGGAAGCTCCAGCAAAAAAAAAAAAAAAAAATAGACACCATAGTCATGGGTTTGAATACCCTTGTGCTAAGGGTATTTAGACTCTTTAAGCCCATTAATTTTTTATATGTTTTTTAAATAAATAAATAAACAATCTGTCAGTAGAACCATCTTTTACAAAAAGTGAAAAAATTAGATGTTTGTTCATATTTTTAACAGTCCGTTTTATATGTTTGGGGATGCATCTTACAGATAAATTCAGGGATGGTTATCAACAATAACTTGCAGAGGATTTATGTTAGACATTTTAGGACTGGAGAAAGGATTGCTTCCTGTCAACACAGCCCAATCTTTTTAACCCTGCGCCCCTTATCTTTGGGTTTAAAAGAAAAAAAGGTCATCGATCTGTAATAGGTGCGTTGAGAGAAAATTCTTTCCCTTCTTTCTTTTATTTCTTTCATCTTCCTTTGTTCCCCTCTTCAGTCCTGAAACATCTAACAATGGTTAAATAGATCTTTTCTTCTATCGTTCAGCTCATATAAGCCTCTTTATGCCACTAAATTGATCAAATTATTAAATTAATTATGGTGTAAAAAAAAATTATGTACATAGGTAAATGTTTATTGAAAAAATTCATACATTTCCATATTTAAGTAAGAAAAAGAGAAAAACAGGTAAAAATGTAATGCAAGTCTATTATACTTAATGCATAATTAAGTACGCTGTTTGCTGTAAAATGATTCTGGGATGAAAATACTGTGTATCAAAAATGGGGAGTGCACTGGAAGAGTCGCACGTCCGATTTCGTTTAAATCTTTAGCGTCGAGTATGACCAGAAATGAATTTAACTCTTTATTAGTCTCTGAAACATTCACTAAAAGTACTCCATCATCTTCTGATTTGGAGTTCGGTGATGGTAAAAAGCACGGTTCACAGGGAAAAGATGTTGTTGATTCCATCCATGTCTTGACTTCTCCAGTTTTGACATCTACTTTGACTAGCTGTAAACAAAAGTTAGATATCATTTTTTTTATTATTTTTTAAACTAAACAAATGTAATACCTTGTTTTTAAATTCGCTCTGATCGTAGAGACCAGGAGCGTAAAAGTATGTGTACTCTTTACCAAAGTATGCCGGGTTGACCATGGGTAACTCAAGAGAAGGCGGAGCTAGAGTTTCATCCGTTAATATTATTTTGTCGCCTTTTCTCACTGCAGTAATACTCTTTGGTAAAGCATAATTACTCAAAAGATTTTTATTTTCAGGTATGTTCTACAAACACACGACAGTAACAATATTTGTTTCTAGGAGGCAGAGAACGTGTGAATTGCTTGGCAAACTTACTTTAAAGCTAGTGATTAATGGGAGAGCAAATCTTCTCGCTACTGATTTATCTTTCAGATTAAAGTCAGAGGAACGTAGTTCCTTGAGTTTCATTTTATAAATTACTTCCGGGCTCTCATGGCATAGAATATCTATGATAAGCTGAAATAAATTTAGTTTAAAAAAAACTCTGTTAAATGAATAATGACAGTTAAAGATACCTCTCTGTCTTGTTCATATGCATTGATATGGTGAAAGAAAAAGAATGGTTGAGTCGATTCAAAAATTAACGGGTTTACTTCCCCAGTCAACTTATGTATAATTATAAACCTGTTCTAAAATGAGAAAATATTTTAGCATTTTAACTAAATATCATTGTTTAAAAAAAAACAGTTCTAATAATCTTACTGATTCTTTAGGCCTCCATTCCATGCATTCAGACATAGATTTGCCTTTTCCATAGGCAGCGACCAATTTCATTCCTGGCATGTACATTGGCTGTTCAATGTATATCAAATAATTTTCTGTCATTCCCAAACTGTGAGTAAATGTAATGCCCATCTTGTGTCTAGTTGGAACTGTAGCCAAAATTGTAGCTTTGGAAAATTCTAAACAAAAATCATAAACATTTAACTTTTTTTTAAAGCAAGATATTTATTATTGTTTAAATTCAATACCTTGTCCTGGAGGGGTCACTTCTGGTGGAATTTTAAAAATCTGTGTCATAAAGCCTGCAGACAAACTTCTTCCTAGACCGTAGCAAGCACCATCAGAGTCAAAATATACGTGAGATGCGACTAAATCTAATTTTGTTGATTTTGCTACATCCACCTACAAAAATATTTAACGAATAAGGAAAGAAAAAATTTTTTTTTTCATTTTTACTTTGTCTCTAGTTTCAAGAGTTATTGGGTCTATGATCCTCTTCACACTTGTATCTGTACTTCCATAAAGCGTATTTCCTATAATGTACAAGTTGTTTGCAACGTTATCCGTCAAGTCGGGTAACAGGTATGATTTCATTTTCTGAAACATGCTTTTGCTGGGATCTGTATAGGCTTTTGTCCCAAATTCAGTGTACAGCGGGTTTCCAGCAGCTGTACCCTTGATATATGCATCAGATTGAATAAACCTTTTGCTAAATGTGACCTGCAATTTTAAAATGGAAATTTTTTAATTAACAAACTCATTTTTTAAAGCATGAAAAATCATTTGTTTTACTTTTCCATTTTCAATGTGAAATTTTGACAAAATAGCAAATCCATCGAGCCAATGATTGACAGAAAAATTTTTCTTTAAATCAAACAAACCAGGTCCATTTGCAATTAAATCTCCATTTATCCATTCTGGAATGTTACCTATAAACAAATATAGTTTAAATATTAATAACAAAATTTATTTATTTATGTTTAAACTTAAAATGGAAGAACATTTTCACTTTTGTTGATGAACATGTTAACTGAAACCATGATGTGACAGATTCTGCCTATTCAGTTTAACTAGATGAAGTTTTTAATGGTCATGAGTTGTCAGCTGTTTAAACATCCCTGTTTTCTATTAATTTATTACTATTATAATTGTATATCTAAAAATCAAGGGTTCAAATCTCGCCTGTGACAATAATTTTTCATTTAAAAAAATTGTATGTAATAATTTGTATCTCTGTTTTTGTTCTTGAGCAGAACAGAATAGAACCAGAACAGGCAGTACTTCAGCAGTACTACCAGACTTCCATTCTTCGTACACTCTCGTACATACTCGTTGGAGGGGGGTTAAAGAAACTTCTACTGTATTCAAATTTGGCAGATATTGCCTCAACACTACTAAAATAAATAAATATATATTTATAAATTCAAGGTATAAAATATTATAGAGAGAGGTGGGGATTAAACCAAAGTTAAACTGTTGTAAAATGATTTAATATTAACTGAATAATTTCGTTGAATTTTGTTTATCTAAAAGTTGTAATCAAAATGAATGAGGTGACTAAACTAAAACTTGGATAATATTTCAACGAAGTAAGAAGGCTATTTCACAACATTCTGATGATGTCGACATACTTTTTTTGCTAAATCTTTCGTGTGTACTTTTGATGGACTAAAGAAAAACTATTTAAACTAGAGAATGGTTAAGACAAAAACTTCGGGAAAGGCTTGATTACGAAACGACATACTTTTTTTGCTAAATCTTTCGTGTGTACTTTTGATGGACGAAAGAAAAACCATTTAAACTAGAGAATGATTAGGACATAAACTTCGGGAAAGGCTTGATTACGAAACGACATACTTTTTTTGCTAAATCTTTCGTGTGTACTTTTGATGGACGAAAGAAAAACTATTTAAACTAGAGAATGGTTAGGACAAAAACTTCGGGAAAGGCTTGATTTCGAAACTGTACTATTAAGAATAAAGATTTTATTCAGAAAAAAAGAGTTTAAAAATACAAATCACTTGGATCAAATATAGAAAGTAAACAAAGATGACAAAAGTGAACCTTGGTTTTCTCAATTAAAAACAAGACTGAAAACAATAGGAGGAATTCAATTCTAAAACGTAATTTATGGGATACCCGAAATGCCAATTCGTTTTTGAGCAAATCCAAACTATACTAACAACATAAATTACATCAATCGTGTGAAGGCCAACCGCAACGTCAAAGGAAATCAAGCACGTGCATTAAAAAAGACAAGAAAATCGAATTTAGTTTTTGTTTTGTTTTTAATAATAAAACAGAATGTTCAAGATCAGTGAAGAACTCAGATATGCATAAACAACAATTCGTCACCACCGGGGAAAATTCCTTCCTAGAAGTTTTAATTTTACGTAACTTCTGTTTATCCTCTGATAAAATTTTCTCATCATCTCAAGAAAAAATGAATTCTGGGAAAAATTATTGACGCTTTAATCGCCGGGAGTATTATCTAGAAGGGTGCAGGATAAAAGGTATCTGGCATGACTGTGATACAGGAAAATCGTTTGTAAAACTACTTGTATCTGTATTTACCTACTTCCATGACATATTAGACATCAAGGTCATTGTGAATGGTAAGATTGGATATTGGTTTTTAAATTGGTTTACGTTGGAGGTTGTGGCATTTGGTTGAACCTTAAAGTTCGATGTCGATTGTTCAAATTTGTCTTAGAATAGTGATATAGATGCACTTGTTTTGCAGCGTTTTGATTGTTTGTCTTTACGAAGCCTAAAAAATATTCTATCTTTTAAATAGCATGTGTGGGATCTTTGTAAGTCGTTTGTCAACTTATAACCCAAGGTAGCTGAACTACATCACCTGATTGGATTGGGATACTATTGTTGTAGGTAATTTGTTATCATTAGCTTCATACTGTGCAATTGATGTTCACTTTTTGTGTTTATTGACAGTTTCCTGTCCTCAACTAGTTTCCACTAGGCGTCACCACTGCTTCAACAATGGTTCCGCCTTCCATGCTGCAGAGCCAATGAGCTTGCAGCACCCCTGTGAGGGGCTCAACCTCAAACAATTAGACTTTAGCAGACTGTAGATTTCTCGACGATATCCAACCTACACTCCGTATGTGGCAAGTCACAAAAACTAGCTACTGCACAAGTGCACTCATCCCTCGCATTCTCAACACCCAACATGGCTGCCAGCTGTACGAGGCCCTTCCTTCGCTATCGCCATCGGCTATTCTTATCTACACCATCTACCATCCTTCTTATCTACACCATCTACACACAACAGCTACTCTCAATGCCGGCTCTTTTTAGGGACAAAAATTCCAGCGATTAAAAAAAAGGATATGACATGGGTTGCAATTTCTGGTTGAGATGACGGGATCTTTATGAGAACAAAACATGGGGATATTATATACATTATATACAGTAACGATGAAACTAGATTATCGACCTGCTGGATACAAGAAGTCTTTTCAGAGGATCTTCGGAAGAGGTCAAAACACCTGTTTTGACCTCTTCCGAAGATCCTCTGAAAAGACTTATTATATACAGTTTCATAAAGGGTATTAACGCCTGTGTTGTATATTGAGTCATAGGAGGACAGGTCCTAAGATACTTCCTTGTGCTACGCCTACAACTGTGCGATAGCGTGTGATGGAGAGAAGCGTGACTTCTGTCGGTTAAGCAGGATTTTAGAAACAGGTAGTAGGTAAAAGGGAGGACTCTGTTAAGCTTCCAAAACAGCCCCGAGTGCCACACCGAATCATAGAAAGCATACACCGGTACATCACTCCATTTGCTCAAGAGCGACATTATGCCTACAACGCGATGCACTGCTGAATAGTGGTATGAGAACGTTTAAACCCAAACTGGTGGTCAATAAGGGTGCAAGAAGATTGAGGAGAATGTGCTTGAGCAGCTTTTCTCGGTTTTTGATTATTGTAGGCATTAGAGTAGGGCGGTAGGGTGATGTTAGATTATGAGGTTTTTAGGCTTTTGTGTCATCCTGATGAAGGAAAATGTCCATTGGGTTGGACAGTGTTTCTAACTACTACTGGAAAATTGCAGCTTTTTTTAGGTAGGTGTCAAAGGATTTTTGCAATAATCAGGACACAATAAGAGATTCTTTAGTGATGAATGGCTTGGGTGTGAATGGTTTTCGTGGATAGGTTGTTAGGTCTTGTCCTATGGTTCTGTTGAAGTCAGGATCGTTCATGTCAGAATGAATGAAAACGCTGGTATGGGGTTTTTCTTCGTCGGACATAGCCTGAGCCATCATCCTGGCGAAGAAAAGGATTTATAAGATAAGATTCCATGCGCTGCGGTCCTGTGCAATCTTGGATTCGTTTTTGCCTCAGGGTCTGTAGTTCATTTCTTAAACACTGCTGCTGGCCCTTGTATGTTGCGCGCCGTTTCTCCATAGATATGGTCCCTATGTAAATGTTCATTGGTGTGATGTTTTGGGTTTGTGTATATCTAGTTTTTGTGAACTCGTGGATAGTTTTTTTTTTTAAGTTTCAGTAAAATATTAGTGGTATGAGTAGGTCAGATTGTATTAATTGTAAAGGTAAACTGCTTCATAACACTTTTAAACTATTTTTCCGATTAATTCCAGTCTTAATTTGTTGCATAAATTTATCCAACAATATGTTTTACCAGTTTGATTTATGCTGTTTTTTAAGCTAGAATTGGTGGTATTAAACCAGTTTTAGAACTAATTGTTTTCTCTGTCGTTGTGTTTCTAAGAAACGAAACGAGGGGCAAAGTGTGTAAACACGATGCTTTAATGTTTTTTCCTTTCATCTCTATAGTGATAGCATAAATCTTTCCAAAAACTTATGCAATCGAGACGTAATTTTTTCGTGATGCAAGGTCGTCGGAAAGGGGCCGATCAATTCAACTGTACAAATTAAACGGCCTTTTTCTTTTTTGTTCCAACGTAATTGAATTAAATCAATTTTGTAAGTTCATTGGATCTATTGAATCTAATATGGGACGCATTGTTTCTTGCCCTTTTACAGGTCTGACTTTAAAATTTAAACGTTTCTCTTTTTTTTTCTTCTTTTTTTTGTATCAGAAGTAAATTAGGACGACTTTGATCTATTGCCGAGGTAAAAAGAATGTAGAATAATAGTATCCCGTAAATTTATTAATAACTTTTTTACAGAATATTATTGAACGAAAAGGAATCCTCAGGCGAAGAACAAACACGCTCGGTCATCGTATTGGTTTAACATCCATGCCGTCATCATTACTCAATTGTTGGCTCTTCCGAAAATAAACATTTTACCATTTACATATCAAGCGATTTCGGTCGTCGATCAGAATTTTAAAAAAAGTTCTGAAAAAAAGGAAAGTTTTAATAGCTGAATATTACCCCATTAAAACCGGTTGCCACTTGACAATGAATACCGAGCAGAGTGATGTGCCAATAAGCGCAAAATGAATATATATATATATATATGTATATATATATACAGGGTGAATTGCTACTCGTGCTACAAACTTCTCCAGTAGATTCTTCACCCTAAAATGAACAAAAAAGTTCATATTGTCCATGGTCCGATTCTCAACCATTTCAGAGTAATTTCGCTTTTTATCGATTTTGAAAGATATCACGTCCTGGCGTCGGAAAATCGTGATATCTTTTAATCTAAA